CCTGGAGGTTTTTTGCCATCTTCTGGGCATGGAACAGGGGTCACTTGGAGTGTGGGGGGAGGTATTTGGAAATTCCCTGCATTGTGCAGGGGGTTGGACCAGATGACCCTGGAGGTTCCTTCCAACTCTATGATTCTAAATCGTATAGGAAGACTAGTGGTGATATCTGAAAAAGACCTTTCTCTGATAGGTAAACCGAAATTCCTGTTGTCAATAGGCTGCACATTTGAACAAAAGACACAGGACGATGCTCGAAAATTATCCTGGTTTTCAGGGGGAAATGCAGTTCCCCCCCTCCCCAAAGCAATGAAAGTTTATACATCTCTCATAAGACTGCAGTTACCAAGGGACAAGTAGATTCGAGGGTTTTTTGAAATAAATTACTAAATCCTGCAGCTGCTTCCTCTCTGTTTTTTGTTAGAATATAACATTGATATCCCTCAAAAAACTAATAAAGTAGAGGCTCCCCACCACCACTTCACTAATGTAGAATAACAGGAAAGAAGTAGGCTGGGAGTAAACTGTAGGGGAAATCTATAGAGGGAGGACCAGGACAAATGTCTTCAAAATGCTACCACCCACTGTCCTATTATTTGTGCATCTAGGTGTTTAAAGTACCATGATCTTATCTGTAATATTTTCTAATACTAATATGTTTTTGCTCTAGATATTATTTATTAATTAATTTTTTTAGTCACCACTCACCCAAAGGGTCTTGCAGAGACTTACAGCATTAATACCACATAAAGAAGTTAAAAACAACATAAAAACAGATAACAAATATAAAATACTAGGAAAAAAGCCCATTGTGGAAATAAATACAATGACCTCTAGAAAGAGGCTCTGGGCGGGTGCCCCGGCCTTGGACACTCAGTGTCAATTTGCTGTGGCGACCTCAGCAGGGTATAATGACCCTGAGTCCACTATTTTCTCCAGAGGAACTGATCTCTGCTATCTAAAGAACAGTTGTGATTTTGAGTGATCTCCAGCCCTCACCTGGAGACTGACAACAATGGTTCCCCAGAAGGGGATGGTTGATTTGGAGGGTGGAGTCTATGGTTTTGTATCTATCCGAGGTCCCACCCCTCCTGAAAGCTCACTCTCTCCAGGCTCCATCCCTCACATCTCCAGGAATTTCCCACCTGGAGTTGGCAACCCTATCTCCTTCCCAGCCAATCATCAACCTACCTTTATTTCCCCCTCACTCTTCAGCTTTCCAAACACCACACAACTGCAGCCTCTCCCGTGCTCTGAAGCCCTGACTTCTATGTCCCATTGACTGTCATACAGGGGCCACCTCAGCGGCATATAAAGATGCAGAGCCCACCATTTTCTCCAGGGGAACTGATCTCTGTCATCTAGAAAGCAGTTGTAATTCTGAGTGATCTCCAGCCCTCACCTGGAGATTGGACACATTTTACCTCAGAACAGCAAACGGTTTAGAATGTTAGAGGCAAAAGCCAATCAAGTCGCATATGCAAACGACCTCTGTGTTCCGAGGCAAAGGCCAATAAGGCTGCATATGCAAATAACCTCTGTGTTCTGACTGGCTATGGGGGGGAGGAACAGCAAACTGTTTAGAATGTTGGAGGCAAGACTCAAGCAATGCAGCCAGTGGATAGGGACAGATTCTGAGTGACACACCAGGGCGCCAACCAATTCCGGAGCGTGTGGAATGTTCTAGAGAAGTGCCACCACCATTCGACTTTTATATATAAGGGAGATTGACATTAAAATGTTAAACTATTAAAATATGTGGACAGCATCATACCACTAACAAAAACAACCCAAACATGGATTAGACTCCAAAGGCCAACCACAACAATTTGGCCTCTTATGCCCTGTGGGAATGAAACAAGTCTGGCAGGGCATGGGCATCGTCCGAGAGTGTGTTCCACAGGGCAGGGGCTCAACTGAGAAGGTCCTTCCCCTGGTGACAGGTGACCAAGCCATCCTGGGGTTGGGCAACTGCAAGAGCCTCCTTAAGGTTGACTGAAGGGAGTGTGGCGGGTTGTAATGTGAGATATAACTAAAACCCACAAGAACATTCTCTCCAACCATACTGGACGTCAGTTCCCACCTGGAAGTGCAGACCTGGGTAAAAGGGTCATATAGAAAGGCTTATTCCGCCAGCACTCAAAATTTAACCCTCAAGAGACATGACTGCCAAATTACCAGCAGCAAGGGCTGAGGTCAACTGGTAGAAGCTTATTTGTATCGAGGGGGGGGGCTCCAGCAGGATCAAAGACTGGGGGCTTCTGCAAAAGGCTACAAATTCCCTTCAAATTGGGAACTGTTCATCTACTGCAGTATGGACAAGGAGTTTTGCAATGCAATCCTAAAAACACTTTCCTGGGGGTAAGTCCCACTGAATAACATGGGGCTTTTTGTCTGAATGGGATTCCTCCCTTAGTGTTTAATTTTGCTTCCCTAGGTTAAGATTTTGTGAGCCACTTGACGTGCACAGGAATGGGGGTGGGGCGCAAAAGCCTCCTAACATCTGTTCATAAATCTGGTTTATCACAGCATAATAGTAATCAGTACTATTTGACATATGCAGTTTGGCCTTTCCTAAAGCACAAGGATAAGTAGTTGTGTTATGACTGTCCCCCAAAGAAGCTGGGAACTTCTGATGAGATGCTATTTTGGGATATCTGATCCTCCTAGCTACTACCCCTTAGAGATGAAAACTAACCAGGTTTAAGTTTATAGTACGGACATGGTGTCTTTACTTATTCTTCAATGTAATATGCACAACCAGGATCCTGTAAAGAATGTATGGAAATGAAGGATTCCTCCCTCTCTTTGCAGAATACTCAGAGCATGTTCAGATTACTTCTGTTGCACAGGTCTTGCAATGCTAATAATAAGGACCCCACTTTTTATGGAAGGAGGCTCTGTGGTTGATGGTTGCATAACAGACAGACACTAAATGGTGTCAATTCTGCCTGAGTGGAGAGACAGTGATGGGGATTCCTTGCTGATTTCTGCCTGCAGCTGTTAAAAGCTAGAGAGTTTCTGTATATCAATAGTTGGCAACCCCATAAGCAGCTGGCATTGTCTGTAATGCACCGTATCAAGCCAGGCTGACACAACTTGGGACCCACCGCAAAGCCCAAGAAAGCTTACCATCATGGCGTGATATGTTTGGGGTTCTTTTGCTGATAGTCAGCGAAAGGAATGGGCTGACCACAAACCAAATCACAAGCCTATATGAACTGGGAGGCTGGTTTGCAAACCGAACTGGTTCGTATGGGTTTGTGACCCCCCTACTTTCTGGTCCCTGCCACTTTTCATGGGGAACAGGAAGCAGTCGTTTAAATGGCTCCCAGTGATTTAACCCAAACAACTGAGCTGTTTTTCATGAAGACAGAAAGCAGGGGTTTAAATTACTGGGAAGCATTAAACCCCTGCTTTCTGCTCTTCACGAACCATCATGAACTGCATCAAAATTTGTGAAGCTTTGTGGCGGTTCTTCAGTTCGTGAACATTGCTTTGCAAACCACGAGCTGACCAAAATTCATAATCCGGTTCATGCCCATCCCTAGTCAGTAATCTTCATCATGTGTTTAAGTCATATTTGTTTATCATCAAGTTTTGTAAGATGACTACTAGGAAGTCAAAGTATAAAACACTGTAAACAGAAACAAATGAGCTCATCCACACTGGCTTCAGACTTTTCCCTAGTATGCAGAATTTCATCTTCAAACAGAGAGAACTAGATGTATAGCTGAAGTCCAAATTTTAGCTTGCTGAACGTGGTGAGATATAAATAATGAGTGACAACAATGTTAATGCACACACACACGCACCAGAAAAAATGTCTACCAACCCCAATGGAATGCGCATTGTGTTACAAACCTTGTTCCGGAGCTGGTGTCATAATGGAACTGGGGATCACACACTTCCTCTTCCTCCATGCAGGAAACAGGTGAGGTGGGCAGTGAGAGTCCAGAATCTTCTTCAATGTTCAGCAAGGCAGTTTGCGGAAGGACAATATAGTCTTTGCCATCCTGTGAAATACAGCCAAAAAAAAGTGTTGCATTTCCAGAGTTTATGAGTGGAGACAGATTTTTTATTTCCAAATAACTGATGATGGTATGAAAGAAGAATTGCAGCTCTTGGTGCATTTCCTCATCCTGTGGCCCCTTCTGGCAATTGATCCTGCAGGATTTTGTGTTGTCCCAAACTGAAGGTAATAGCAGCAGGGCAAAGGAAATATGCAAGCATGCCATGGGAAGTGAAACCTCTCTGAAACCACTGTCAGTTCTCAATGAATTTTATCTGCTTCCAGCCTAAGAATGTTCAGTAACAGCAAAGCCAAGTTGACGCAGCAAATAGTGGGAAACTGAACAGTACAACTAGGGGAAACAGGAGACCGAGGGCAGAACAACTGCTTTCGTGGAATTGGTCTAGGTTTTTATAACCCACTTTTCTCTTCCTTCAGGAGTCTCAAAGTGGCTTACAATTACCTTTCCCTTCCTCTCCGAACAACAATTACCTTGTGAGGTAGGTGGGGCTGAGAGAGTTCTGAGAGAACTGTGACTGGCCCAAGGTTGCCCAGCAGGCTTCATGTGGAGGAGTGAGGAAATCAAACCCGGTTCTCCAGATTAGAATCTGCTGCTCTTAACCACTATACCATGCTGGCTCCTTCTGTTCACAGAATGTGCTCTTCCACTCAAATTAGGAGCCCTTCCATGTCCAGAAAGCCTCCTTCCAGCAGTGGAGGGCATCTCTGAATCTAATCTCATGGTCTGGATCTACCCATCAATCAATCAATCAATCAATCAATAAACCTTTAATGGCATATAGATCTACCCACTATCAATAGGTATCTTTCTCAGTTTCTAAATAATTAAAAGGGGCATATTCGAACAGATCTTACATTCCAAAGAAAGTAGTTTCAATTATTTTAGAGAACCCAATGAGGGGAAAAAAAAGAGAGAGAGATTCCGGTAACTATTTTAGTGATTTTTCTTTTCTTTTCAATCATTTGAAACTAATCTTCCTAGAGGATTAGAACTCTGCATATCAGCTATCAGGAATGCTTGCTGTTGGAACACCTTTTAGTTTTACGACGCATTTGTACTTCTAATTGGGTTTTGTATTAAAAATCAATATATGGGTATTATTCATTGACTGCAAATAATCTTGAATGTCAGTAGTGACTAAAAACTGCATGTATAAATAAGCAATATGCTGGCTGCAACCAGAAGTTCAGCATGTCCCTTTGTGTCATGGGAAGGAAGAGTGCTAGCCAAAGCTCCATGACTGCAAATGGTTCCCATTCTCAACACTGACCATGGTGTGTTTGGGTGGAAATGATGATCCTGCGTCAACAGCAACCACTTTTAGGAGCACTCATTTACCTGATAAACACTTGCTTGCAATACATTTCCCAGATGTTCCACTAGTTCTGAAAAAGTCGGCCTTTGTTTGGGTTCTCCATGCCAGCAATCCAACATCGTCTGATACCTGAAGAAACAAGCAACAATAACAACAACAACAACAAGGCGATCACCTTTTGTTCACATTTCATCCGTTTCTAAGGTTGCTGTTGTAAGTAACAAAACAGTGGACCGGCCAAAACTGTGCTGCTGCCCTCCGAAGAAAGGAAAACCAAGAGGGACTGATAAATGCTCACTACAAACCTCAAGAAGGTCACACCATTCTAAGACCACTGAATTCGGTGGATTTAGAAGGGTGCGGCCACATTTAGGATTGTGCTGCTGGGCACTTTGTGGATCCCCCCCTCCCACTGGTACCTAAGCTCACTGGATGGCAGGAGCAGGAGAACAGTGCAATCCTAAACAGAGTTACATCCCTCTAAGCTCACTGAAGGATCCACTTCCCTTAGGTTGTGGTCACACGCATCAGATAAAGGGGGGAAGAAAGGCTATTTCCTCCAGAGAAATCTGACCTGCAGTTGCGAGATCACACCTCCCTTTGAAGCTGTGGGCGCAGCCTGTCAGTGTATGATCAGACGCAACTGTGGGTGAGTCGGGGAGTTTTCTGACGTTTGTTTCCCATGCGCTTAAACGAGGCATCGGTGGATCGCACCTCTGCACTGAGGGCTCCCTATTGAGATGATGCGCATACTGAGAAGGGGGGAAAAAACAACAGCATGGAGTCGGGATGGCCTGATCAGACTATCCTGATGGCATGAGAGCATGCTGGAGCGATCAGACCGGGGAAAGTCCATCCGTGGCCTATCACTACCTGTTCACTACCAGATTTTCCCTGACTCACTCTATATTGTAATGGCATAGACTGTGGGCACTCCATGAAATTGCTGAGCGGTCGGGTTAGAACGGATAAAAGGAAGTACTTCTTCACCCAAAGAGTGATTAACACTTGGAATTCACTGCCACAGGAAGCGGTGGCGGCTACAAGCATGGACGGCTTCAAAAGGGAATTAGATAAGCATATGGAGCAGAGGTCCATCAGTGGCTATTAGCCACAAGGTATAGATAGGGACTAATGGGTCAAGTGATGCTCTGTCATCTTGGTGCTTGGGGGGGGGTCAACAGTGGGAGGGCTTCTAATGTCCTGGCCCCACTGGTGGACCTCCTGATGGCACTGGTATTTCCGGCCACTGTGTGACACAGAGTGTTGGGCTGGATGGGCCTTTGGCCTGATCCAACATTGGCATCTCTTATGTTCTCTTATGTTCGTATGTCTTTTAACTCCACTTCTGTGGTGGAGCAGAACAGGTTGCCAACAGCTGCGGGAGACTTCCCAGACGCTGCTGTCTGATTGCTCCCTTTAAATCCACCCGGCATTCGTGCCTGTGTCGGGTCTAATTGTGCGTATGATCGCAGCCTCAGTCTGTCAGAAGGATCCGAGGGCTCAGTCACCCATGAGTCACCCTCTCTTTGCGCCACTAAACATTCTTACATTTCAGGGGTCGTATAGTCTGGGGCCCTCATCCTTGTTCCCTCTTTCAGTCTTCTACAGAATTCTTCGTCAATCTTTACACCAGGGTAAGGGGACGCTCCTGAAATGATAATTGGTACTTTTCAGTAAACTGCTAAGAATTCAGACCCGGATGTTCAATTCCGTTATAAGAAATGAACAAAACATGCAGAGGATTACTTAGACTGGATGTGCAAACACAACTGGAATCCCTTGAGCGACATTCAGAAATGTTTCTGCAATATCTCGATTTTTTAATTTCAGCTCTGAAAGCCAGTGTTTTGCCAAGTTATATATTTCCCAGTCAGAGACGGTGTCACATGTGACTCTCTCTATATCGTAATGGCTTAGACTGTTTAGACAGATGAGAGAGCTCAAACGTATTTGCTTATTTTCCCAACTGAAGTTGGTTCAATAAAATGTGCCAATTTACTACGGATGTAAGCCAGATCCGTTTTTATCAATGGGCGTTTTGTCACCAATTTCAGCTCATTCTTATCATCCTGCTTGAGGATCAACAGAGTAAAGCAAACCAAACAATTTTTTTTTACAATTGAGCACTTAGTATTCAGCACAGTACGTTCACAGAGAAGGTGATTTACACCAAAATCTTAAAAGAGCTATATTTTTTACTAACAGAGGTTGAGAATTTTAATAAGTAAGCAAAGAAATGCAATTTACCTAATGAAAATATCTCCCACAGCAGTACGCCAAAAGACCACACATCACTTTGAATGGTATACACTCGATCAAAAATGGTTTCCGGTGCCATCCACTTTAAGGGTAGTCTTGCCTGGATGTTTAACAAGCAACAATATTTATTTATTTAGGGAATTTATATACAGCCTTTCCAGAGTCCTGCTTGAAGCTGTTTACAAGTAAAAACAATACACATAATCATGAAAACAGTATAAATTTTATATATATATATATCAATGTATATATATATATAATGTATCAATATAAAAATAAAACAAGTCAATAAAACCAGGCCAGGGGCATAAAAACATCACTGAGCATCCTAGAAAATCCACAAACAGTTCTTAGTCTAGGAGTAGACCACAAACAGCTAAAAAAGAAAGCCTTATTTCTTTTAACCCAGGCTTTTAACTATTTTGGCCTGCTGCCTGAGAGAATGGCAGGCACTAGACTAGCCTCAAGGAGCAGGACATTCCAAAAGTGAGGTGCCACCACTGAAAAAGCTCTGTCTCTTCTTGCCACCTGCCTCACCTCTACAGGTAGGGACACAGAAAGCAGGGACTGAGAGGCAGATTTTAACCGGGAGGCTGGACAGTAGGGAAGGAGAGAGGTCTTCAATATACTAGACAGCAGCAAAGAAGGGAAACCCCGGTTTTTTGTTTTTTTAAAAAAAACACCCACAAAGAAATATATGCAATTTCCCATTGATTGTCTCAGGAGTTCAGTCAGCTGCTAAAACTTACATCTCCTTTCCTCACATAATCAGGATCTTTGTAGATATCTCGAGCCAGTCCAAAATCACAGATTTTGACCACGTTGTTCTCTGACAAGAGGATGTTGCGAGCTGCAAGGTCTCTATGGATACACTGCAAGGATACAAAGAAGAAGTCTGTTACTGAAGTTCTCCTGAAGGGCTGGTCACTTTCATAGCTTTGCTAACTTTGTCGTTTTGCAGCTTTGCCTTTTTGCAGTCCAGTTCTAGGTGCGGCTTAAGCTAAAATTACTTAAGGGGATCTCCCAGTGGAATTCAAGTAAGAGTTCTCTCAAACGCCTACAGTCTAATGAAGTTCTCTCAAAAGCCTACACTGCTCCAAAAGGCACACAAATGGAATTACTTAAGACATTCTATATCAAGATCTCCTTGCCATTTATGTCCCATTCTCAGGCCACACTTGAACTCACCCTATTATTCCAGACCCCAGCAGAAAACAGTAGCCCTGGCTCCTCACAAAGGGCCAAGACACTAGCCGAGGAAGAGCACAATGGGCTTTCTCCCCTGGATGTGTGGGAGACACCCAAAGAGAGGAGAAGATGACAGCTAACCTCTCCCCTCTGTTCTGAGGCCACACAGCCTCCTCTTCAGTGTACATATGGCTAGTCAGGCTGCAGTCATATAGGTGCAGAAATTCCCCGGTCTTTTAAAGGGGGCACAGCTGACCGGTGTTTTATGCTTGGAAAGTATGCTTGCTGGGAAGGAGGCATGGCTACGAATATTCCCATGGAAGGGTGGTTTTACATGAGAGGACTTTCAATTGGGTGAATCCTCAGAATGGAGATGTTGCGGAGGCCTTTAAAAACAAGGGTCTTTAAAGGGTCTCAAACCACTACCAGATCTCTTACACCCTTCCCCCCCCCCATTTTCAGGAAAGCTGCTATTGCCCACTTGCCACCTTCCAGATGTTGCCTAATTCCCCTTCCAGATGTTGCAGGGGAATCAGCCAGGAAGTAAAGGAGGGAGTAACCTCTATTTCCAGGAGGAAGATGAGCGGCAAGTAAGTTGCTGGGACAAGAATGTCCACCAAGTTGGCAGGCTTCTGAAAATGGTGGGGGATGAGCACGGGGTTGACATTAACACCCTCCCTGCATGAGCTCAAGAGACAAGTACACAGGGATGGATCCCACCAGCTTTTCTGCTCAGCCTTACTTCCCTTTGCCCTGCCCCAACTGTCTCACAATGCTTTTGTCTCTGTGGGTCCCACAAACCACAGCACAGCATTTTCAATTATCAAAATGGACCTCTCTTCCTCTTTCACTGGTGGAAAAGCTGGTAAGAACCACCCAAGCACCGTCCTTAACACCGTCATTTCTGGAAGCAAGCAGTCATTTGACAAAAGTCACTTCCTCACAGGAAATGCCTTACTTTTCGTGACGCCAGGAATTCCATCCCTCTGGCTACTTGGAAGCTGTAGCAGATGAGATCCTCCAGAGTCAGAGGGTTTTTGCAAGGATCTTCAGATGTTGCTGTAAGGGGAACAATTAGCAGGTGGCAAATAGTATGATTTGTATACAAGTGCAATAAGATGCCCATCTACATTTATGCTTGAATATACAAGACTCCCATCTTCTCATCTCCTCTCTTGGTTTCTTGCTTCCTCCAGTACATGGAAGCCGCAGCTGTACAGCACGCATTACCCTCTGCAACTCAATGAGAAAAATAAAACAGAAGTCTAGCGGCACCATAGAGACTAGCAACATTGATTCTAGCACAAGCTTTTCTGAGTCATTGCTCACTTTATCAGATGCAAAAGCTTATAAAGTCAGCTCTGACTCGTGAAAGCTTAAGTTGGAACAAATGCTGTTAGTCTTTAAGGTGCCACTGGAATCCTGGACTAAAAAAAGTAACTGCCGCTACAGACCACACAGCTACCCATCTGGAATTTCCAGTGAGGAAAAGCAAGAAAGCTTCCATCTTGCCTTCTTTGAAAAGGAAAGGTTAAGAGAGCAAAGCTGCTCAAAAAACTACACAGAATATGATTTTTGCCTCAGCCTCAGCTGAAGGAGACATGCTCAACATCACGCTTACTAAGGATTGCTTTGATTAAAGACCACGAGGGATTTACCTCAGCAAATACCACAAAAACCTGGTCAGAAGTTCCCAGCTCTAAACAAACGTCTTCATCAATAATCTGTTGAAGTTAACGTATCAGTAAATTTAGATTTCTGTTCCTAATCTCCCTACCCTAACTAAGGTACCTAGCATTAAGAGTACTGAAGGATCACCATCATATAAATTTGAAAGCTATTTCCCACCAAGACATATCTAATTGGCATTTCTGGGGAATCTACATAAATCTCTTTAGTATGAGAGACCACTCGTTTTCTTCAGTCACCTCAAACTGGACCTGGAGGAAGGGATAGCGTTCTTTCTCTTCCCTGGGTATGCACTGAAGCAGACATGTGCACTTATCACAGTTTAGAGCTGGCAGATATAGCTGGTAGCCGGCTTTCTGACCATGGCTGCCCCCTATCCCATGAAAATGGCTGCCGGCTGCATCCACGTTCATCTGGATCAATATGTTATGAATATCCACGCAAGCGTGTATTTTGGGGATTGCTAGGAATGCTCCCACATACAACAAAATGTCTAGTGAGAACTGGCACACAGGGCTGTTGTGAGGATTGATGAACTAAGGTCCCTGCCACATGGGGGGAAAGGAACGGGAGAAAGTGCTGCTTTATAAAGCCACACCAAAAGAAACACGTGGCGGCGGGATCACATTGATCCCCTGAGCAGCGGTGCATTCCGTGTATTTTGGGGATTGCTAGGAATGCTCCCACATAGAGCAAAATGTCTAGTGGGAACTGGCACACAGGGCTGTTGTGAGGATTGATGAACTAATATAGGGTAGTGAATGGTTTGGGATCATCTGAACCAAAGGGAAGGGTTAAGGAGCCACGTTACAAAGAAACAGCAATAATAAACTTAATGGGCTTTCAATCCCCACTCATTCTTAATATTCTCATGATTTAGTGCAATCCTAAACAGAGTTCAGTGGAACTCAAACACCCTCAATCCGTCCCTCTCCCTCTCCTTTACATGTGACCGGAGCCTAATATAGGGTAGTGAATGGTTTGGGATCATCTGAACCAAAGGTAGGGTTAAGGAGCCACGTTACAAAGAAACAGCAATAATAAACGAACGGGCCTTCCATCCCCACTCATTCTTAATATTCCCATGATTTAGTGCAATCCTAAGCAGAGTTCAGTGGAACTCAAACGGCTTAGAAGGGTGTAGCTCTGCTTAGGGTGGCACTGGCAGACACTGAAGGAAGAAGACAAATCCTACCATCTCCTTCTTCTGCATCACTGACAGATCTCTCCTCTCCAAATCCCGAGCTTGTTGAGCTCTGGCTGCTTGCGATGCTGTCCAGGCGTCTCTTCAGATCTACGGGGACTTCGCCAATGCGGTTGTGCTTCCCATGTCTATACCTGGCATTTTTGGTCTATTAAGGGGGGGGGGTTAAGTAAAAAAAGGGGAATCAGAAACTTTCATTCACCAATGTGGATAATGATCATCACAATGCAAAAACCAAACAATCCCTTTGAAGTAAATATTATAAATAATGTAATCAGAAGGTGCAATCAAAAGACTGGAGGGGATTGGTCACGTTTTGGTACAACAACTGAACACGAGGACACATGAAGCTGCCTTATACTGACTGAGTCGTACCAGTGGTCTATCAAAGTCAGTCTTGCATGCTCTGTCTGGCAGCAGCACTCCAGTGTATGAGGTCTTTCACATCACCTGCTTCCTGATCCTTTTGACCGGAGGTGCCAGAGACTGGACCTGAGACAGTCTGCATGAAAAGCAGATGTTCTGCCACTAAGCCACAGCAATGTTTGAAAGAAAGACTAGGGGTGTGCAAAAAACCACAGTATTTTTTGGGATTGGGTATATTGAAGCCCAAAAATAATGGTATCTCCTGATATTCCCAAATTCCAGTATCAGTATGGGCCCCCAAAGAAGGTGACCCCATGCTCCATTGGGCCCTCCAATTCTATTGGCCCCCAAAGAAGGTGCCCCCATCCTCCATTGCTTTCAATGGCAGGGGGGAAGGCGTTTAAAGGGACTACAATCCCTTTAAACACCTTCTCCAAGCTGCACAACTCTGAGGTGAGAATCCAAAGTCATTTAAAGGTGATCCCTTTAAATGCTCTTTAAGTTTGGCTATCTGGTGGCCCCGAATATCCCAAAAATAAGCATTTTGGATAGCCAAAATTGAGTCCCATTTGGTAACCAGCTTAAGAAATACCGGTAAGATATTTTTAGAGTATTTTTTCAGCATACCCCTAAGAGAGACCCTTCCTCTATCAATTTGCTGAGCGCAGTCCATGCAGTTCAACTCAGGATTGTACAACAATTGCAGTGATAGCATGCTTTTGAGCATTCAAGGGGCAATATTTTACACCTGAGAAAATGGTATGTTTTTCTTAACAACTTATCCACTGCTACTGTGACTGCAGTGTGAAAACTGGTTGTGCAAATGTCACAAGTATCTCCCGACTCCTTTTGGGACTAAATGAATGACAACACGGTTCTCTTTTTGGGAAGACCCTTGCAGTTTGTGAATTTCTAGTTTTAATATGTTTGCTGAAGTGCGTCCTTTATTTTTTAGAGAAAGTGCTGTACGATTCACCCATGGAATGTACATCTGGCCAGAATGTTTCTAAAAGTGAGGCATCAGCAGTAAGGCTACCCTCCTCACTGGGTGACCTTGGGTCAATCATCTGAAAAATGCAACAGATCTCTCGGTGGCAGTAAGTAGTTCAACTAAAAAGCAGGGCACTCTTCCCCAACAATTATCACAGCCCTCACCTTGTATGGAATAAAATCGCTCCGCTTGCTTCTTAAGTACACTGACAGATTCCCAAACTTGCAGTATTCGACAATTACCATGAGTGGGCCTGTGGGAATAAAATATGGGGGGGAAATGACTTGAAAAGAAAAGAAATCTGTTTTCCGTCTTGTAGCAAGACCCTCCGTAGTACACCTGCAAAACCTGTGGCCCATCTCACCATGAAGGGCAGACCACCAGGACGACCAAGAGAGGGGTTACGCTCCTGTTTGGTAACTAGGGTTGCCAACCTCCCGGTAGTGGCTGGAGACCTCCTGGTATTACAACTGATTTCCAGGTGACAGAGAACAACTCACCTGGAGAAAATGGCTGCTTTGGAAGGTGGATGGTATTGAAACTCCTCCCCTCTCCAAACCCCGCCCTCCTCAGGCGCCATCCTCAAAATCTCCAGGTATTTCCCAACCCAGTGCTGGCAACCCTACAGATACGTGGTTACAGCAGCACCCACTTCAAGCACCTAGTTTGCTCCAGGGCCATTTTAACGTCTCAGCCCACCCCTGTCTTACTGTATACATGACAGGACGCGGGAGCGATTCTGTGTGCTGTTCCCTCTAGGGTGTTTAAATCATGAACTGACACCTTTGCACGTATATTTATATGCATGCAAACACCACTGAAATAACTCATTTGCCAGCAGGGACCAAACAAGACTTTACAATGGAAATGGGGCGTTCCCACTCTGACTCTTACAATGCAAAATGTGGGTTGGGGGGGGCACTTCCCAAGGATAACTGGTGAGCGGGAGGGTTGCTTAATACGCCCTCTATCTGCATGTTTTTAATACCCCTACACACACTCCAATCTTCCTGTGAAACCAGAAATTAGCTCAGCTAAGAAAAGCACTCTTGGAAGGGAAACTGCACGGGAGAATTGGCTGGCAGGGAAAGCGTTAAAACTCCAGTCTCTCCCTCCTGCTGATCCCTGCCTTCAGATGCCTCTTGTGCCCCCTCCATCCATCATCTTGACAAACTGCAGTCCAGACTAAGCCTTGGACCTGGAAAAGAGTGGACAGGACTGCCTGTAGGCATAGTTGAATGAGATGCCTAGCTGAACAGATAGCAGAGGAGAAGGCTCCCCCGCACACACAACCAGCATCTGATGATATTATTACATTTGCCCTGCACTGAGTAGTTATATCTATTTTTGGTCACTTTCCTTCCTCGATAGCTGCTCCCCAGGTCTTGGCCAGCCTGCCTGCTTGCAAGCCACTAATGGCAGAGTTTGAAGACTGAACCAGAGAACCACCACTTGAGTTCCACATCTTCCAGCACTTACCTCCTGGTTTTGTGCAGGCCCCCAGTAAGTTGACCACATTGAGATGATGACCAATATGAATGAGGATTTTGAGCTCAGACATCAGTGCTCGGTGTTCACTGTGGGTTGCACCCTCTATATACAAAGGAAAAAAATATTCTCCTGTATTTGTACTTACATGTAAGTAACAGTAAGTTGACCTTTCTCACAATACAAGAACTCGTGGGCACTCAATGAAATTGCTGGATAGATAGATTAGAATGGATAAAAGGAAGTATTTCTTCATCCAAAGAGTGATTAACACATGGAATTCACTGCCACAGGAGGTGGTGGTGGCTACATGCATGGATGGCTTCAAAAGGGAATTAGGTAAGCATATGGAGCAGAGGTCCATCAGTGGCTATTAGCCACAAGGTATAGATAGGGGCTCTGGGGCAAGTGATGCTTGGTCTTCTTGGTGCTTGGGGCGGGGTCAACAGTGGGAGGGCTCCTAGTGTCCTGGCCCCACTGGTGGACCTCCTGATGGCACCTGGTATTTTTGGCCACTGTGTGACAGAGTGTTGGACTGGATGGGCCTTTGGCCTGATCCAACATTGGCGTCTCTTATGTTCTTATAACAATAAAGGTTAATCTGCCTCTTTCCACTGAACTAGGGAGGAGGAGAAATACTCAATCCCAAAAGGACTTTGTGACATTTCAGTGCTATTGCTAAAAGTCTTGGGCAGCTCATTCGTCTATCAGGGCCAGTAGTGTCTACTTTGACTGGCAGAAGCTCTCTCAGGGTCCCAGGCAGAGATCTTTCAAATCCCCTGCTGCCTGATCTCTTAAGTGGGGATGCTGGGATTGAACCTTCTGCATGCTCTTAAAGTATCAAGCAAAGCAGTGATATGAAGATACAGTCCACAAGTTGCATGTGCTCTCAAATGAACACGTGAAGCTGCCTTGTACTAAATCAGACCATTGGTCTACTGATATTAATATTGCCTGTTCTGACTGGCACTGGCTCTCCGGGAGAACGTCTTTCTCATCACCTACTTCCTGAGCCTTTTAACTGGAGATGCCAGATCAGTGTTCCCTCTAAGCTGAGTTAGTGTGAGCTAGCTCACGGTTTTTCAGCCTCTGGCTCACACATTTTTGTCTTATCTCAGGAAGGATGGCTCCAGAGCAAACTAATTTATGCAGTAGCCAAATTGCTGGCTCACAACTTTAATGCCAGTAGCTCACAAAGTAGAATTTTTGCTCACAAGACTCCACAGCTTAGAGGGAGCATTGCCAGAGACTGAACCTGAGACTTTCTGCATGCAAAATATGTGATCCATCAACGACCAACGACCCCCTTGACATTTCTTACTAAAAATTATGCAAGATGACAGGTTCTCACATGAATCTAAATGCGGGAGGGGGGAAGCTTCATACATAAACAACATTGCAGGCTTCTGTGGTAGACACAGCACTCTACTCTAAAACTTCAGCCTGCATCTGTCATAGCAGGTTGTAAAGCTCTCTTTGGCCTATATGCATGGTCGTTTTCCCTAGCTTTCACGGTGGATGTCCGTCTGGTTTTCTTTTGTCGTTCTGCATTGGTTTTTCTCCCTTCAGGGCTCAGTTCATTTTCTGTTCACTGTTTTCCTGCATTTTCTGAGAGTGATTTTGTGCCAGCTTTAGTGAACAAGGTTGGGGGGGGGACCATTTTGGCAGTCTCTGGAAGCCTAACATTAAAATAATGGCTGAGCCCCAGGGACCTTCTGCAAACCACCGAACTTAAGAACTGCTTGGGGTCAATCCATCTGGAGGACAGAATGCAATCCGCACAGGACAGGCTTTTAAAAACTGCCATGGTCACAGCCAATGTGCAGGATCAAATTAGAGATTCACAAAGAGAAAACACAAATTTGCAAGGAAAGGTGGGAAATTAGTGTTACTATGCAGCTGCACTACGGCACTGGTGAAAATACCCCCCAATTTTTTTCAGTTTAGTGGCACAGGACTAAAAAAGCTCTTCAGAGCTTCTGCCAGAGGACTCCTCCCCTATATAAACTGCAGCCCTGTGCAAAGCATGGTGGAGTTACAGCTGACTTTGCACAGGGGTGTGTGTGCACACACACACACACTCTACCAACCATCACAGTTTGCAGTGCCAGTGTCAGTGGGTTCTACCATGCATTCTGGACACTCAACATGTTCCCCCATATTATGAGATTGTGTGACTCACTCCCATTTTTCACAGTGGCTGATATCACAGCAGAGAATCTCCTAGTGCTCGGCAATATGGAAAATGGGGCTTTGCAACTGCTTATCAGTTTCAAAAAAAGTCTTGTCAATTTCAACATAGGGTTTCCTTCTTTGCCTGTGTTCCTTTCTGTTCCCTTTCATTCAACAAACTACTGCTAAACTGCATGCGCAAAACCTGAACCAAGAGGATTTAAATGGACGGTGTTCGCTGGACGCTGTGATAGGGCAATTGTGATGTGCAGCTGTGATAGGGCAATTGTGTAAATTTAAAAAAAACACCCTTGGACATCACCCCCCACATGTCACAAGTGACATTCCATCCTGATATTTAAAAAATTGTAGGTGCAGAATAAATATACTGGAGGGGAAAAAATGGTGCATAAGGTGGGTACGGGACCCCAAAGTCAAGATTAAAGGCTTACTGCTCTGAAAATCTGCAGTAAGATGTGTGTGCACAATGGGCCTTCGATTCTGGTGTTACAGGAACAGCTGCTAGAAATTCGTGTGACCTTAATGTGAACCAAACAGCCTCCCTGTTGTGCATCATTTGCAATGAGTTATTTTACTACTAGAACAGCTAAGACTGAATGATACAACATTGCTTGGGGGCAAGTCCAAAAAGTGAGCAAGATGGAATTTCACCTAGATTTGCAGAACAAGCATAGTGCCTGTGCTGTCAGTGATGTGAAGTCAGTGGAGCATATGTATAAACACCAGTGAGTGACTCAGCATCATGGAGAAAAGCAAATCAACACCATAAGCAGTGAATTTGTCTGGTCAATGGGTGTAGTTTCCAAGTGATGTTGGACATGGAGACATGCAGAAATGGACAATAGGGTGTATGTTCAGTGTCCAGGTGATGTACTGAATTGAGGTGTAGATTGTTCACATGAACCAGGAGATACTGAAAAGGTCTGTGAGTAATTCACATTGTCCATCATCTACATGAACTGGATATTATAAGAAATCCCCTACTGGTGTGCATTTTTCCATTCCACGTGAATGATACACACAACTGTTTACGTGCAGCCAGAGTAAATCCATGCGAACACCAAGGTCACTTCCACATTCTGGTAATGGATTCAAGAACATCTGTAATTTTGTAGGCCATAAGACAACAGCATACATCAATCATGGTTTCTTTGATCAATAGCTACAATTAATTCCATGCTTACTAAACAAAGGCACAAGCTGGTAACCCAACAAATGCTTCATTCTTTTCAGAATACAAGCCTGGTGGTGATCCAAATATTTCAAATTGCTCTCAATTCTTACCTTTGAGCATTTTCACAGCAACTGTTTTGCAGGTAGCAGTTTTGTCAATTCCAAATGCATCTGCCTCAATGACTTGGCCAAATGCTCCCCGGCCAAGTGGTTTACCTGGGTTCAATCCAAAACAAAAACCAAAAGCACTTTTTACACTTCTGTTCTCCAGTCAGTCGGGGCAGGGGCGGGGGAAGCTAACCATTCAGTCCTTTAGAAAAGGGTTGCCATAAAGAAAGACTGTGAGGTTGTCAAAACTACAATACGCTAATCTTGCCTTCAACCACAGCCACTTCTAAGGAAGGCGAAGAGGTCAAGCCAAGGCGGAGTCTTGACACATTGCAAGCTGTATTGCATCCACAAATCATTGGATGTTGTGCTATCATTGCAGTACAGCAATTATTTGCAAGCAAACTGACTTGTTCAGACACAATACAATTACAGCAATTAAGTACAGCAATTATTTGCAAGCAAACTGACTTGTTCAGACACAATAATCCAGTTGCTATAACACAACAGCATGTCATCCAATAATATATGGATGTAACCATGTTCTTAAACACAGAAACACAGAAACCTAGAACCTGAAGGTACCCCAGGATGTAACCATGTTCTTAAACACAGAAACCTAGAGCCTGAAGGTACCCCAAAGGTCATCTAGTACAAACCCCCTGCACAATGCAGGAAATTCACTACTACCTCCCCACCGTACTCCCCCAGTGACCCCCTGCTCTATGCCCAGAGGAAGGCAAAAATCCGGCAGGATGCCTGGCCAAGTTGGCCTGGAGGAAACGTTCATGCTCAACAAAAGCAGATCCTACTCCCAAAGCCAAGGGATGTTTGTTCATAAGGGGGAAAAAACATACCTAAGTTTAGGCGGTCCCTGGGGAACTCCCATTTGCTGGCGTCATAAGGAAGACGTTCGCATTGTTCATCCATGGGGACTTCATCAGGATCCATGATAATGGAGAGGTAGCCAGTCTTCAGTTCTCCTCCACTGGCCTGAAAACAGCATTATCAGTGCTGGTTAAATAAAATTATCCTTACTGGTTGGGCAATGTGCAATCGGCCATGCTGACAAGACTACACTAAGGTGTGGGACTTTTTTGTCCACAGGAATGTGAGCCAGCGGCAGCTCCTCCAGCTGTGTTACGGGGCATGTGCCCACCAATCATCGTCAGTGGCTGGCTTTATTAATATCCCCCGAAGGGGACCTTTCTTCCCCTCCTCCAATGCCTGCTCAATTAAAAGGCAAAATTGTAAGTTCCAGGAAAGAATGTGACTGTACTGACAGGAAAAAATGCGGCTGTTGATTTAAGGACAATGCAAGAAACAATACAAAAGGCCAGCCAGTCAGTTTTCATTTGTCATGCAAGACTGATGCTGATGGGACTGCGGGAGAATGATTTCATTACCCGTTTAACGGTCCGTAGAATTATTACGAGGAGCAACCAGAAGAACATGGCAATTACTGCGGTCCCAACCAGGATAATGAATTCGAGCTTCGTTTTCTCATCAGTGCCTGCGAAGAAACAATTGAGTGATTCACAGATAGTAGCTGGGAATCTACTGGATAGGTCGTCAGTTGAAGCACTGAAAGGGGTTCCTTGTTCGGGAAAGACATTTTAGAAGCCCAACATGTAGCAAGTCAACTAAGACAAAAATGTGTTGAGAAAAATGTGCACCTAGAAAGACTAAACCCTTCAGTACTTTCAGTGCACATCCCTCACTGCAGTCAACTGAGGTGAATGAGCTAAGAGCTGGCCAGAATATTGTTCAATCCATTACCAAATTAATCTTCACTTGCTGACATTAACAAAATCAACCAAGTTGCACACACTGGTATGGCAGCAAGAGTAGTCTGGCAACAAGAACCACACAAAATGGGCCAGATCCAATCGAAGTTAAGCACTGAGCCCAATGGGAGATTAAACCATAGGTTGGATCCAGCCAGCTACTTAGCTCATTTTCACCCAATTCTCTTCCTTATTGTAGCCGCCATCCCACTTGCCCTTTGTCCATGTCAGTCCCATGATCTCCAGCCTAGTCTATGTTGGGTGGTAAAAGAGGACCCTCCTCCCCTTTTTACCAGCCCAAAATCTGGCTGGGGAGTCAGAATAGTGGGGCGGTCAGAGTGTCAGACTAGGATCTGGAAAACCCAGGTTCAAATCCTCACTCTGCTGTAGACGTTTGCTGGGTGACCTTGGGCCAATCATATACGTTGTTTTGAGGATAAAACGGAGGAAAGGAGAATGTTATAAGCTGCTCTGGGTCCCACTGGGGGAAAAGTGGAATATAAATGAAGCCAATAAAGAAATACACTCCAGGTATTTATGTAGCTCCCTTAGAAATCAAGAGGGCTCAATTTTGGATGGACATGCCTTGTATTTTGGATGGATGACTTCTTCATTTTATTCTATTATTTATAAACCCATATTTCTTATGACTGACCAGTACCCAGCACAGGTAACAACCATATACAAATACAATGAATATCAAATATATTAAAAGTGCAATTAAAATAACCAGTATAGAGTATCCTATTGACAGCCATAAAGACATTTCCATTTTGCTCAGACTCAAGTTGCCCCCCAAAGCCATTTTGCAGTCTTGACAAAAAAAGCCAAGAGGGTAGGATGCCCACCCCAACCATTTTCGGGATGCTACTACACAGAGACAGGGCAGCCCAGGCAGTTGCAGAATGGGCCCTAGACAAAGGAGGCATGGAGAGTAAACTGCCATGGGGAGAAGATTTAGATACCTTTGCATAGCCCTGGAAATATCTGTGTTATTTCTACACATCTGAATATATATAAATAAAAAGCCAAATTGTACAAAATTGTGCAAGAAAATGCCAAGTAACCAGCAAATGAAGCTGTCTCCTATGGAATCAGAGCATCATTCTGTCAAGGTCAATGTTGTCTACTGTGAATGACAGTGGCTCTCCAGGGTTATCATGTCTCCTACCACCTGATCCTTTAAGTGGAGATACCAGGGAGTAAATATGGGATCTTCTGGATGCAAATAACCAGCAAAATGCTCTACCACTGAGCCAACGACAGTCCCTTAGGTGGGTGAGTTCTATAGAGAACCCAGGCTGGGCATCAGATATGGGTGCCAATCCAGTTCTAAGACAAAATTAGGGCTCACAGCCAAGTGAGGGGAGTTAGTGAGCCAAGGACCTTGGGAAGTGAGCTTCAGCGTCTGATAGAGAAGACAATTCCCTGTTAATATTTCTTAACCACAACTAAACCTAAGTTTGCTTTATGGAAACATATTTTGTTGCTATTGTCGCTGTCACATCACAGATGACTTATGGCGTCCCCTGTAGGGTTTTCAAGACAAGAGACGTTCAGAGGTGGTTTGCCATTGACTGCCTCCGCATCACGACCTTGGTACTCCTTGGTGGTCTCCCATCCAAATACTAGCCAGGGCCGGGTCTGAGATCTGACAAGATCATGGTAGCAAGGGCTATCCAGGTCAGGGGTGGAAACACCTTTACATTGGCACAATCATGTTTCGTTTATTATCACTAAAAAAATATTCTACAGTGGGCATCAAAGGAGCTCATTACTGTCACTGTTCATTCTTCAACATTTTCCTGTGTTGCGTCATTTGGCTTCTGTTTCACAACATGGCATTGTTTTTATACCATTCAATACTCCACGACAAGAAGGGTCATAAATTCTCTCACAGAAAACAAATCTGCCACAAACACATTTTCAGTTCTAAAAGGCACATTCAGCCACACTCCGACGAGTCACGTTTGTTCAGTAACAGAACACAGATATTTACATGAGGACTGTTTACAGGCACTTTCCATCCAAGAAAAATATGTCATAGGGCACATCTCCTGCTGGGGACTCAGAGAACAACAGGATGTAGTTTTGCATGGTAAAAATTCCATAGGTTATCATACTGAGGGGCAGAGTTTCTTTTACAATTAGGTAACTGCTTTTTAAAAATGATATAGAAGGAGCATATTTACATTTAGAGGAAGACCTCTTGAATCTGAGTTTTCAAAACTGAGATCTTTGGTGGATGAATATATACTGGCACAGACTTTCAGTGCAGTCCTTACAGAATTAACACCCTTCTAACCCCATTGATTTCAAGGGACTCAGAAGGGGGTAACTCTACTTAGGATTGTATTGTTTGAGACTTCACTGACAAATGACTCCTTGTGTAACAGATCTACTGATGCGAGTGTATCAAGTCAGAGAAGCAACTCATAGAAGACCACCGTGCCTTCCTCCCTTTCCCCCTTCCTGTTTGGACTTTGGCATCTCCTTGGCTACCATGCAACTTCTGGTGCCCTTGCCTGGCTCCTGATTTTTGCAAAACCGCTTCCCTCATTCCTGATAAATTTCTTAATTCTATTTTTGCGATTTATATCCTGCCTTACCCTGCATGCGGGCTCAGGGCAGCTTACAACACACCATAAAGCAATAAACAATAAAGCAATCAAAACGTTAATTAAAGCAGGGTCAAAATTAAATAAATAATTTACAATGACAATACCCTTTTCGCCAGCAGAATTTGTTTTTTTCAACATTTAATTTACATTGGAAACACAGCTTCCGCTAAATAAAACAAAATGATTGGCACACTGTGAATGGCCTTGGGAGCTCTTAGTGGGTACCAAGAGAATATCCCACATTTCTACCTACCTTCCACGGCAAAAAATGAAGCCACTGTTGTACAACCAAGGATGTTGCAAGCATGACAGCTGTAGAGGCCTTCATCCTCCTTCCTCACCCTTCGGATGGTAAGAGTTCTGTTTCCATCTTTCAGAACAATACCTTGTAGAGGAAATACATTTGTAGCTGGTAATCTCACTTGGTCTTTCGCAGTACCATGAAGAAACTGGCTTGTGTACATTTTCATTTAGGGTGATGCGCATAGTCGCTCTTGCCATGACCAAAAGGCCTTATGTGAGTGATAACAACCCACCGCATATTTTACTAAACTATTCAAATACTTGAGATTTGGATGTGGGCAGGGCTGCAAATCGAGAGGCGTGGCTTCTGCCCGGGCTTGAACCAGCCCCATAGCTAGGGTGTTTTTTTGGAGGGGGAGCACAGCTAATTAAATTACAGTTAATCACATTAATTCAATTTGGGCCAGCCTGGGAGGGAGGGGGCTCAGAAGAAATGCTAAGGGGCCGAGCCTCGTGGGCCCCGCATTAGCTACAGGCCTGACTTGAACCCCAGCAGCTCTCTTGTGTGAAATTAGCCAACGGCTGGATATAATTTGAAAGTCTTCTAATTCAACTCACTGCAGGATTCCCCATACCTAATGCACTAACAAAGCTCATTACTCATCATGCAAAATACAGCGTACCACTGCAAAGAGCAGAAGAGATCAAGGCACATCATAGAAGAGACGTGTCCCTGATAACAAGCAGATTATGCATAACGAAACCAAAGAGGCGTTTTATTTAAGACACTCTACAAGGTGAAATTACAGCACTCTCACCTGAATCTTCAATAAGGGATACATTGTTTTTAAACCAAGTGATCAGCGGAGAAGGAATTCCATTTGCTATGCAAGACACTTCTATAGTTTCACCAATATCTGCTGTCTGATTCTCTGGGGTCCCTAGAATGGTGGGCGCCACCGGTTCTGTTTGCAAGGAGGAAAGAATTAAAATGTAGGATCTGAAACAACAACTGAGTCACAAATCCGGAACAGCTGTTAAGTTGTAGCTTAATGGTTAAGCATTTGAAATACGACCGCTAATAAAGTCCTTGGGTAGATATGAGCTTTTTCCTAAGTGCCTATTGTATTGGGTTCCAAATATTGGCATAGGATTACCTTGAACTGTGAGGTGCTTGACAAGACAATGCTGTGTTCTGGTCTTTTTGTCCTGAGCGATGCATACGTAATCCCCGCTATCTTGGTGGGAGATACTGTGGAGGAGTAGCTCCATGGTAATGTTTTCCCCATGGGCCCTTGCAGCGACGGCATTCAACTTCTGAAGAGTCTCCAGGTTCTTGCAGACAGGCAACGGCAGCCCACGAAGGTGCATCGTCGAGGCCCGAGGCCTGAACTTGAACCAGGTCAGGTTTTCAAACGTGAGCCTGTCAGCCGTGCACTGCAAAGATACGTTTTGCTTCTCAGTGGGCTGACTTTGAGGCTGAAGGTTAATCTCAAGGCCTCCTGTGCAGAAACGATCAGGAGAGAAGACATTGGCCACTGTTAGAGCTGTGGCTATTCACAGCGGGTTTCATGCTGAGATGTTCAGGATTATACTTTGAAAATGACTGGACCCGTCTCCAACTCCTGCCCTTATGTTCTGGCACAACGTTACGAGGAGCTGAGCGTCATTCACCAAAGGATATTATAAGCCAATTAAACTCTTAGTATATCCAGGTACGTCACTAATAATTCATCAGAACAGATTACTGAGCCCAGAACACTCAAAATGATTTTGGTTCTCCATTTCTATGTTCCTGACTACAGGTCTCTTTTAAGCAACATGGGGGTAAATTGATTAAATCCCACATACACGCACACTTGTCAGCGCTAATCATATATAAAACAGGACACATATGCAGGATATTCACAGGTTCTGGAGAGGTTCCTTCTAGCCCAGCAATGCACACCCACCAGGATCTAGAAGCAGGATCCAGAAATCTGTTCCTGAACCAGAATTGCCCTCACTGAGCTTTAGTAGTCAGTTCCAGCCTGACTACTCATATAGCCAGGTCACCGGCTTGTATACTGCAAATGATTTCCCACAATAGGATTTCCAACCATGGAGCATGACTTCCTTGTATTCCCTCTCCTGATGCAGCTTGAAAATGTCCCCCAAAATGTTGCTTCTGGGTGACAGACCTCCATAAGCAACAAGAGGAAGGAACCAGAGGTCTACAATGGGAGTGGGGAAATCAGTAGAAATCTGTGGAAATCCTCCATGGAGATCTAACCCATTTCCTATTTTGTTGGATCTAGGGAATAATTTGAAATGATATTTCAGGTTTCACAAATGATGGATTAATAGTTCAAAGGGCATTTATCGTTACTTTGGCAGTCAAATCAACACAATAATTTAAAACACTAAAAAGGATCTTATGTAAATAAAGACCAATTTCTACTTTACAATTTTTATAATTGCATGAATTTTCCAAAATTTTGGTATGATCTGAACTTTAAGCACATGTGCTAGCAGATCTATCTATCTATCTATCTATCTATCTATCTATCTATCTATCTATCTCCAGGAAGCATCTTTTACCTATCCAGTATACAAGGGCAAAGATCCTAAAATCCTATTTAAAGCACAAGCAGACATAGTAATGGATAATATTTGCACAATTCATGACTCATACTTACTGGTAACATGAAAGGAGATGACTCTTTCGCTTTCTCCAGCTTTGTTACTAGCCACACATCTGTACAGAGCGGACACATTTGCTGCCTGGATTACAAGAGTGCTAACGGTCTACAAGAAAACAAGCCAAGCAATTTCATGCCACAGTGATGCCAGAGGGCTTAATTGAGTCTCACACAATAAGTCAGCTGAACTTGTTACCACATAGCTATCCAGGCTATCGTAAATTACAGAGCAACACAGCCCACCATTGTTTTAGGTATCCTGTTGGTATCTGAAGCTTACATGACCTGCTGGTTACCCAATTCTGGGAAACAAAAGTGAAATTGATTAACCTTTCTAAGTCAACTTGTTAAAGAGTTTTAATCTCACTCAAAGTTATAACAGGACTATTTCCCTTTGTATCACACAGGCCAAACGTAAGCATTTCTACCAGGGGTCTTGTTGTAGAAAAAGAGCTGCCGGAGCTCATTAGCATAACTCATTAGCATAACTTATTTGCATATGCCACGCCCCCTGACATCACCGGAAGTGACAGAAGGCCACACCCCCTGACATCACCGCATTTCTACCTAGACTTAAACCCTGCTGTGCTGAATAGGACCAACTCTCCAATGAGTTTGTGTAAGGCTGGAGCCATGATAACCCAAAATGTTTAAGCGCCATGGGTTGGGTCTGGATCTGACAGAAGGAGGGGCCGATTCCCCCAAATTCCTCTCTCCCACTGCAGAAATTCGACTGACTCCTCATGCTGTTTGGGAGGCATTTTAGGCTGACGTGGAGGGTGTTGAGGAAACTGTGCAGAAAGTTCTCCCATCAGTGGAGATTTTACATGGGATCCAAGTTGATGTGTCAGAATCCCACACAAATACTTACTTGCAAACAAATTAGTAAAAACTCTTACTATCTGTGTTGATCATTTAGAAACAGTCTGTAAATGCTTGAAAACTTTACCATGCTTCTTTTTTGCCACAAATTTATATCATGCAATCAATCAGTTTATTACGGTCAAAGACCCATCAAACAGCATACAGAATCAAAAACAGTCTCCAGATTGTCGTAAGGCATTACAGAGAAAAAACATCTCAAGGAGCATTAAGGAGGTGCTTACACTTTATAATTGCAATAAAAAGAAATGTAGCAACATTCCTTGAAATAACCGTGGATTTGTCCTCCAGTAGGTGTTTCAGCAAACGTTCCTCGGACTGGATTACTAATTGTCCTTGAAACCTAAATGACCTTAATGAAGGCGTAATTAAAAGGGCTCCTTCTTCTGCATAGTGGGAGCAATGGAATAATATATGGAGGAGGGTCTCTATTGACTCGGAAGGGCATGAGCAAAATCTCAAATGTCTGGGGATACGTTGAAATCTTCCGGAAAGAACTGCAGATGGAAAAGTGTCAAATCCGGCTCTGGAAAAGGCCCATCTATAATATATATCATGCATTATTAATCCACTAGAAATAATGCCCGTTGCGGAAATAAATACAACGGGATCTAGAAAGAGGCTCTGGGAGAGTGCTGTGGCTTTGGGCAAACAGTGTCAGTTTCCTGTGGCGACCTCAGCAGGGTTTAATGACAGAGTCCACTGTTTTCTCCAGAGGGACTGGTCTCTGCTACCTGAAGAGCATTTGTATGTTTGAGTTATCTGTAGCCCTCACCTGGAGAGTGGTAACCATTGTTACCCATTCTCCTCTCCCCTATGAGGTATGTTATGCAACTGAAAATTCCAACTGCCTTGCAGGGGGGGGCGTTTGAGGCGGGGACGGGACGCTTCTTCTGCATAGTGGGAGCAATGGAATAATATATGGAGGAGGGTCTCTATTGACTCGGAAGGGCATGAGCAAAATCTTAAATGTCTGGGGATACGTTGAAATCTTCCGGAAAGAACTGCAGATGGAAAAGTGTCAAATCCGGCTCTGGAAAAGGCCCATCTATAATATATATCATGCATTATTAACCCATAATGCTGTGGGTACAAATATATGAGCCCTGACCTGGACAGCCCAGGATAGCCCAATCTCCTCAAATCTCAGAAGCTACGCAGGATCAGCCCTGGCCAGTATTCAGATGGGAGACTGTCACGGAATATCAGGGTTACGACACGGAGGCAGGCAATGGCAAACCACCCCTGAACATCTCTTGCCTTGAAAACCCCACGGGGTCACCGTAAATCAGCTGTGACTTGAGAGCACTTCCCCCCACCACCACCACCACAAATATATGAATTAATACAAATGCTGCTTTAAAAATTTAACTGAGTGGCCAATAGTTAGAAGACCCTGAGGAGTTCAGTGCAACTTTTCTTGTTGTTGCCGCAACTCATGGAGAGCCGCCATTATCAATCTGATTCTGCAGGTGGGTCACTGAAAGGAAGAGCGCTGCCCATGGGGCCAAGTCAAAACATCCACGACAGGAGTGTGCTTTGAACCTGGATCTTCTGAGTCCAACTCTCTCCATCACAGGACCATCCTGGATGCCAGTTTCAGGCTTACATGGCTGAATATATTTATGCAAAACAAACAAAAACCCTCCCCCAAAAAACAAAGCAAAACCCCAAATTAAGTTAGGGTTTCCAACCTCCAGGCGGTTGTATCAAAACACAAGCACTCAGTGTATCACTGACGAACAGAAGTAGAAAGAATTATATTATCCAATTTATTCTTTCTACTTCTGTTCGTCAGTGATACACGGAGTGTTTGTGTTTTGATACAACCTCCTTCCCTGAGCTCTCTTTTGGATATAACCTCCAGGTGGTGGCTGGAAATCTCCTGGCAACAGAGATCGGTTCACCTGGAGAAAGTGGCCACCATGGAAGGTGGACGCTATGGCATTATACTCCACTGAGGTCCCTCTTCTTCCCAAACCCCACCTCCTTTAGACTCCACCCCCCAAATCTCCAGGAGCATGGAGCTGTCAACCCTAACTATGATCATACTTATTTCCAGGGGAGACCCACTGACTTCCACAAGAATTATGTCTGTGCTTATAAGGGCATTTCAATGTGTAACTGCATTTAGGATCAAAAGAGCAATTATTACACGGTTCACGAATGAACAAATGCATTAGGTTCTACTCAAATTTTTTACAAGATGTTTCAAATAGGGACCAATAAAATACGACTCGCTCACCTTTATTTTCCCAGCGATGGCAACGAATTGATTTTTTACTGTTTCAATTTGATTTCCACCTCTTCTGTCAGTTATGTCTTTCCACGTCTTGCAGGAATAAGGATTATTCCCCAGTCCAGTTTGGCTGAGAGGTAAAGACCACAGAAAATTCACCTTGAAAGGCATGTCTTTTCTTTTTTAAAAAAAGTTGTTCAGTTGCCTTATCAACTGTACAAGACATAGGTCCGTAATACAGAGCTAGGAACACAAGGAAGGTGCCTGAGATGAGTCCCGGGAATCGTGTGCATGCACCCAAAGCGGCAGCATTATTGAAGCTACGCTAATCACGATTAGGTTCTGCGCCATTGCGCTGCAATGCTCCTTCTAAGCTGCGGAGTCTTGTGAGCAAAAATTCTACTTCTACTTTGTGAGCTACTGGCCTTAAAGTTAGGAGTGAGCGATTTGGCTACTGCATAAATTAGTGTGACCTGGAGCCATCCTTCCTGAGCTAAGACAAAAATGTGTGAGCCAGAGGCTAAAAAACTATGAGCTCGCTCACACTAACTCAGCTTAGAGGGAACACTGCTGGTGACTCCTGGAACCTCCTCGCAAGGCACTGTGAACCTTCTAGAGGAAGAGTGAGTTGCAAGGAGAATAAATACTCTCCAACGACATCCAGCCTTCCAAGTCTTTCTGACTCAATAAAAATAGAAATTCCAAGAGCCTAGAGGTAAATTCCTTCATTATTCTGAGTTGGTCATCCCAGCCAGGATACCGATGGGGGTTGGGGGGAAGAGGACACAGCAGCTATTCTGGGAACAAGCCTCCATTCATAAAAGTGACAATTTGAGTTAATTCCGTTCTAAAGGAAGACAGAGAGTGACACAGAAATCACTGGACTCCTTCAAGTATTTCTCTAGGACACTGGGCCTTGTGTTTTTAAATGACAAGGCACTAAAGGAAGTGGAGAGCGGAAGTCATTTTATGAAAACAACAACAGGAAAGTGGATTCCTTTTTTTAAAAAAATTCCCAAAAGGAAGTCTGGCCTTGTGCAAAACGCAGATAAGGGAAGTGGAGTGGCCCTTGGTCAGCAACTGTTTCTGTCATTCCCTAACATCAATCAAGATGCTTCCTCCGAGATATACCATCACAGAAATAAGACACTGTTGTCTTCAGCAGTGGATTGCTATAAGGAAATAAGAACAACCATTCCAAAATCTGCCAAGAACATAAATGAAACAAAACAACCCTTTCTGAATCGCGGTTACTTCACTGCGGCAGTTGACCAAGGCTCATGTCCTACATGCAGCTACACAGTTTGCATCCTGTGGTCTTCGACTGGATTTCAGCTGCTTAACTGTGTGCAGGATTGCAGTACAAGAGCACTATGCATGTAGGACATAATAAAAACTAGGGATTCCTTTCCGCCAGTGCACCATCACTACCCACCCCCTTTACTCCCAGCGAAACAGGGAAGTTTCTCCCCCCAGTAAGGACAGCCTTCCTGAATTTATTATGCCCCAAATTAAGTAGTAAATTATTTTTTAATCAACACTAACTTGGTCATGTCTATGACACAGTGGGCTTTTTGCCATCACTGGGGAGGGAATCAGGAGGAAGTCGTCAGCCACTTTAATGTCTGTGGCAACATATGTTACCGGACTGATTCCCAAGTGCTTCTGTATACACAGAGTCACAGCAGAGCTGCAGGAAGTTGTGTCTGTGGCCAAGAAGGGGGGAAATGAATATTTTTATATTGCCTCTGTGCTTCTTCTAGGCCAAAGTTAGATTTACTATCCAGTTTCACTGTACTAAAGAGCCCCTTCAATAAACAACAGTAATCAAAACGAGACCAAAAAACCCCCACATTTTGGCCAAGACTCAGGGCTTTGTGTTTTCTAGGGCGGAGATGAAATAGGTATGTATTTTCACTGATCCTGAGGGTGGATGGGACTAAGGACTTTCAGGGCGAGGCAAGAAAGCAGTACCCTCAAGTTGAATTTGGCTCTGTGATATTGTATCTAGCCAAATTTGACACAGCGTCACCACACTGCCAACACGGTCCAGACTGGCAAGGATCATCCTCACAGAATGAGGACAGGAGGTATTGCCCTCACTCTGCACTGGCTTTGTGATGTCATCACACAGCCAAATCCAACTGGCTATGTGACATCATTATGTCATCACGCTGGCAACTGTGATCCCCAATTAGCTGAGATCATAACGCCAGCAAAAAATAATTTCTCTTATGAAAAAGGCACCAAAACAGCTGCCAAGAGAAGTCGTGAACAGAAGAAGAGAAGCCCTGGTACTGGATACAAAACTCAGCATTTTGGCACTACTTCTTGTATTGAAATCTTTTTTAGATGTGTCAGAGCAACAGCCAACATGAGCCAATGCCAAATAACAGGAAGGCCATCTTGTACTTACTGAGGGTTGAAAGTACATTCTTCTTCGAACTGCCAGTACCACTGAATCTTGGGCACTGATGGAACAGCATACACCGTACATGTTAGGGCTTGAGTGGAGCCATACTTATAAGAATCTGCTGGTGCTAACAGAGAATTCTCTCCAATTTGTGGTGGGACTGCAGGAGAAGAACATAGATAGAGGGATGAGATTAATGAGCTCCTTCAATCTCGTTTAGTACTGGTATCGTTCACTGGTCAAGACAGGTTTATAAGATTATGCATGGGAAAGAGCAGATAAAGAGATACTTTTCTCCCTTTCTCACAATACAAGAACTGGCGGGCACTCCATAAAATTGCTGAGCGGTCGGGTTAGAACGGATAAAAGGAAGTACTTCTTCACCCAAAGAGTGATTAACACTTGGAATTCACTGCCACAGGAAGTGGTGGCGGCTACAAGCATGGACGGCTTCAAAAGGGAATTAGATAAGCATATGGAGCAGAGGTCCATCAGTGGCTATTAGCCACAAGGTATAGATAGGGGCTCTGGGGCAAGTGATGCTCTGTCTTCTTGGTGCTTGGGGGGGGGGGCAACAGTGGGAGGGCTTCTAATGTCCTGGCCCCACTGGTGGACCTCCTGATGGCACTGGTCTTTCTGGCCACTGTGTGATACAGAGTGTTGGACTGGATGGGCCTTTGGCCTGATCCAACATTGGCATCTCTTATGTTCTTATGTTCTTGGGTTATATTGGTGTGTGGGTTTTTTTAAACAAAGGGGGAAACCAGGAGCACGAAAACTTTCCTTAGATTTGCTATTGAGACCAAACATCATACAACAGAGATGCTTATTCATCTTCATCATCAGCGACTGCAGTTACCAAGTGGAGCGGCCATCAATCCTATGCCGTACACAGAGCACTCTATTTACAACTACAGCTGAGTCGCAATCAAGTACAGAAAGATAAGTGTGTGTACCAACATGGAGTGGTTATGAAAAAATAGTGGATGGGTATTCTTCAAAATGCAAGGCAATTGGCAAATCTGACTCTTGGTATTCTTCACGGGAAATAATCTCGCTCTATAAAACCATTTCTCAATGTTCCATACCACTATCCTAACAGATCGACCAAATGAACAATATTAAGCATGTCTGCTTGGAAGTAAGTCACACTGTATTCAATAGAGCTTACCCCAGGAAACTGTTTGTAGGATTGCAGCCCAAGATACAGAACTTAGAACTGGGCTATGCAGACAATGGCAAACTTGATTTCCAGTAGTCACTGGGGCCAAAATGAGGATTATTCCTACCCCTTTACTTTCACAGCTTTAAGGAAACCACTGTCATTCATTCTCACAGGACAAAGTTTAGGGGAGGGGCAAATATTAAATTATCACAAATTAACCTCTTTGAGCTGCAGTAAGATTTTGAAGCAAACGCGTATCAACTTCAACAGGACCCCAGTTTTAGGTATCACTAGGGGTGGGTACAAACCACATTTTTGCAGTTCAGTTCAGGATTTGTGCCTGAACCACAAACCAAACGATGCACCGATACAAACCAGGAAGTTCATTCGCAAACTGAACCAGTTTGTATCAGTTTGTGAACCATTTAAAGTTTAAACCTCTGCTTTCTGCTCCCTGCTGCTTTCTGCTCCCAGAGAAGAGTTGCAGGGAGCAGAAATCCAGGGGTCATTTAAATCCTTGCTTTCTGCTTCACCATGAACTGCCACAAACTGCATCAAAATTCATGAAAGTTCATGGCGGTTCTTCAGTTTGTGAACATTGCTTCATGAACCACGAACCAGCCAAAATTCGTTACAAACTTTCATTTGTTAGCCAATTCATGCCCATCCCTACGTATCACTATTGTAAAGGCTTGATTACACATCAATGCTTGTCATAGAGATCACTATCCACGTAGACCTCATGGTTTGTCCCTGGCTGCTCATGGAAATGTTATACTCCAGTTCCACTAGAATGTACAGGATTGTCTGCAATGAGCTTATCAATAAAAAGAAACCATTCCTATCTACAATTAGGGTTACCAACTCTGGCTTGGAAAATTACTGGAGACACAAAGGACAGTGCCTGGCGAGGGTGGAGTTTAGGGGCAGGAAGGAGCTCAGCAGGGATGGGATGTCACTCTAGGACTTCCATTTCTCCTAGACTCTATGGTAACCCATACAGTCTGCTCTTCCAAGAGGTCATTTCCTCCAGGGAAGCAGCTTGGTAATCTGGCAATCACTTGTAACTCCAGGAGAACATCAGGCCCCACCTGGAGGTTGGCAACCCTGTCTACAAGTGGTATGATGTACAAAAGAAAGAGTGACATGAATCAGACATAAGACTAGGCCTGTAGAAATGGCGCTTCTCCAAGCCAGACACAGACCATTAGCTATGTACAGCTAACCGTTAACTAGTTTCACTACTTGATTTGGGACTGAGAGCCAGTTTGGTGTAGTGGTTAAGTGTGCGGACTCTAATCTGGGAGAACCGGGTTTGATTCCCCACTCCTCCACTTGCACCTGCTGATGTGACCTTGGGTCAGTCACAAGCTCTGGCACAGCTGTCCTTGAAAAAGAGCAGTTTGTGTCAGAGTTCTCTCAGCCCCACCCACCTCACAGGGTGTCTGTTGAGGGGAGGGGAAGGGAAAGGAGTTTGTAAGCCGCTCTGAGACTCCAAGTGAAGGGCGGGGTATAAATCCAATCTCTTCTTCTTCTTCTACTATGTATATATTAAAAAAGAGGGTTTAACAAGCATCTGTGAGGCCAGTATCCATTGCAGATCAGCTGCATTCTGCTTGGCAGGTTCCTAGTGACGCAGGCCAGCCAAAGAGTCATGGTAGAGTCTAGAAGTTGTCCTTTACATTACAGTTGACTCTTTGCCGCTCTGAGACTCCAAGTGAAGGGCGGGGTATAAATCCAATCTCTTCTTCTTCTTCTACTATGTATATATTAAAAAAGAGGGTTTAACAAGCATCTGTGAGGCCAGTATCCATTGCAGATCAGCTGCATTCTGCTCGGCAGGTTCCTAGTGACGCAGCAGGCCAGCCAAAGAGTCATGGTAGAGTCTAGAAGTTGTCCTTTACATTACAGTTGACTCTTTCTGCCTTCTCGAGCCACTACACGAATGCGGGTCCAGCCAACTGCTTCCATTTACCAAGCGGCTACCATCACCGTCTGAAGCTGCACCACGGGGAATCTCTGATATTAAAAACTGGCTATTTTATGAAGCTGCAGACAACACTGTTTCCTGAGCAGACAAATGGAGGAGGAACAGGAGAGACGGGAGAGCAGGAAGGATGGGAGAGGCACACAAGGACAGCTGGGGAAGGTCTCGTGATGTATGGGAGTGATCGCTGAAGGCAGGAAAAGAGCAGGACACAAAGGCAAAAACAAAATACACAGCAGGACATCAAGGCCCAAAAAATTATTAAAAAAAACCCCTGAAGACAAAATTGTTTTGCAAAACAAGAACTGGGTGACCAAAAGTCTGCCATACGTTCTGATCTGATAGCCCAGGCAAGCCCAATCTTGGAGGCTAAGCAGGGCTGACCCTGGCAAGTATTTGGATGGGAGACCTCCAAAGAATACCAGGGCCGGGAGGCAGAGGCAGGCTATCAAACCACTTCTCTGAACGTTGTCCATGGCCCAGTAGGAGTCGCCAGAGGTTGCCATGACTTCCAGGCACAGGGATACAAACACACATATGCACATGCACACAAACACACACAAATGCAAAAAAGTCAGCCAAAACTCCTTCGATAACAGAGTGGTATAAAAAATATGAGATATATATGTTATGGGGAAAGATTAGATCAGCAAAACCAGTTTGATTCAAACGTTTGTTTCCTGTTTTGTTGAAATGTGGTATCTGATCATTGAATTTATTGCAAACAATGAATCAACCTTCCATTTCACTCACCAAAAAGGAATACCACTTTTATAACTCTTTTGTGGAGTTAATTATTACTGTTGAATATAAGATTAGTTATTTCTAGTTTGTTGTTACTTAGTCGAAGTTGATGCAACGATCTGATGTCATATTGATTAATTCTATTGTATTTTGTATAATTTCATTATTGAAGCATTACATTTCTGTTAAATACTAAAAATAAATTTTAAAAAATTAAGTCTGCCAAACAAGCAAATGGCACAACATAGAGAAGTCAAACAGAATAAATAATAAGAGTGGGTACACATAGCCTGTGGTCCTCAAAGCTAAGCACAGGTCTCCAGCTATGGATGGCAGCCCATTAGGGGCTCTATAAATTTACTGTTTGGACCACAAAAAGAAACAGTTGTTCTAGCACAGCCAAGCAGACAGTGGCAGCAGACCTAGGCTGTACTGGTAGCACGCTGCGCCTCCAGATCCAACCACAAGGTGCCCCCGAATCAGGGTTGCCAACTCTGGGTTGAGAAATACCTGGAGATCTGGGGCAGTGCCTGGAGAAGGTGGAGTCTGGGGAGTAGCGATCCCAAGTCCCCCCAGGAGGCGGGGAAACCCTTGCCCCAGAGGCCCGTTCCCCGGCACCACCAGATCGGGCCCCAGGGGGAACTCCAGCCCGACATGCGCGTCACCCAGAAGTGACATGGGCACGCTGAGGGCGGGGCCACAGCCATACAAGGGAAAACTTTCCCTTGTATGGCCATGGCCCCGCCCCCAGCATGCCTGCCGTCCTCCCATCACTTCTGGGTGACGTGCGTGCGGCGCGCGCACGAGACTCCGGCCGGGAGCCCACCGCTCCCGGAGAAGATGGACTTGGCAACCCTACCAGTGGGGAGAGGAATGGCGTGCTCAGTAAGGGGGCAATGCCACAACTGCCATTTCCTCCGGGGTAAGCCGAATTCGGTAGCCTGGAGATCAGTTGTAATTACAGGAGAAATCCAGGCCCCACCGTGAGATTGGAAACCTTAATTTTGGAGCCTGGGAGGGCATTGTTTAGGGAGGGGAAGTACCTCACTAGGGTGTAATGCCATACAGTCTGCCTTCCAAAGGAGCCATTTTCTCCAGGAGAAATGGAATACATGCTTTAAATAAATAAGCAGTCTATGTAGTCTGGAGATCAACTGTGATTCTGATAGATCTCCAGCTCCCCACGTGGGGATTGGCAAGCCTACCCCCAAATAGGTGAAGGGAGGCCGTGGGAGTCTGAGCAGCTCTGAGCATCGGCCTGGTGCCTCCTCGGAAGGACCCGCTTCATGCCTTTCAGTAACTACAGTTGCCACCTCTGGGTTGGGAGATACCTTAGTTGTAACAACAGAAGATCTCCAGCCACTACCTTGAGTTTGGCAACCCTAACCCATGTCCCCACAGCCACTTTTTTTGTCTGCATTTTTTTAATGATAAACAGAGATAGGAGGAGTCAAAAGAACTTTACCGTTCACTACCAGATGAAACGTGTGTCTCTCCTGTTGCTTATTAATAGGATTGGTTAGTACAACCGTGTAATTCCCAGCATCTCTTTCGCTCATTTCAGAAATGGTCAAGGAGTGACCAAGTTTAACTGTACGATTTGCAGTGATGGCTCTACCATTTTTATACCTAAAAAAAGACAAAACGGCCCTTTGTTAGGCTTTAGATACAATATGCATACACGATGTCACTTCCTAGTCATAGTCACTCCTTCTTCTGAGATGTTCAGAGCAGCGTGCAGAGTATAACCTCTTTCTGGCCTCACAACAACCTTGTGAGGTAGGTCAGGCTAAGAAAAAAGATGACATTGAAGGCCACCTAGTTAGCTTAGCAGCTGCACAGGCCTTCTAACCTGGCTTTCTAAATTTACAACTGATGCTTGGAGCCATGCTAAACCTATGATACATTCTTTAATGTTTTGGTTTCTTACCATTTTAATTCTGGAGATGGGTACCCTGTGAATTTCACAGGAATTCTGACGGGTTCATTCAGCCTCGTTTCCACCAAAGATGGCATCCTGCCCAAACTAATGAAAGGCTTTTCTGTCAAAGGGGGGGGGAAAGGACAACAATAAGTTTAAACAAAGATTTTATTCTTTTCCAGAAATTCTATAGTTACTTTATTGATCATAGATTTTAAATGGAGACAAAAGGCAATGGATCTACCCACAGAAAAGTTCTGGAAGATCCAAACCATTACCATTTGCCTCCACTAAGACAGCAATTAAGAACTTTGCCAGCGTATCTCAGAATTACACTGGTGTATCCTGAAGATACACCGGTGAATCTAGAGATACATGGCAAGCAAACCCCACTGGTGCCGTAAGAACAGCCCTGCTATTTCAGACCAGCAGTCCATCCAGTCCAGCACCTTGTCTCAAAGAGTGTCCAACCAGTTCCTCTGGAGGGCCAACAAAGGGTATAGCGGCTGAGGTCTTCCCCTGATGTCACCCCCTGGCTCTGGGATTCAGGGGCTGACTGCCTCTGAACATGGAGGTTCCCTTTAGTCACCATGGCCAGTGGCCGCTGAGAGACCTATTCTCCATTAAGCTGTCAAATCCCTTTTTAAAGCCATCTATGCCCATGGCCATCACTACATCTTCTAGCAGTGAATGCCACATTTTAATCACTCACTGGGTAAAGAAGTATTTCCTTTTTGTCCTTAATGTCAATGTAACTACTATACTGGTATGGGGGGGGGGCAGTTTAAACAATAACCCATTTCTTACCAGCATGTTGTTTGTTCACATTATTGATTATTGAAACGTGTTCATTTAAAGCTGGTTTGGTTTTTCACAGTTTGGTGGCTCCCTCTCCCAAAAAATAAATATCAGTCACCACTCTTCCCTAAAATTACCCTTTGCCTTTGCTAGGTTCTGAGGCTTTGTGACAGTTTGCTGCTCATTAGAAAAATCCAAAACTTTCTGAATCCAATCATTCAGGGTCTGGATTTTTACACTGTTGTTATAATGATGAGGCATGGAGCGGTTTTTAAACGTTGAACAATATTATTCAATTGCTGGGGAGGGCGGGGTAAAAATCTAAATAAATAAATAAATAAATAAATTATACATAGTCCCACCAACAAAATCTGCTCTCCTCTGTGCTTTGAGACACCTCTCATTGTAAGTAGGATGGCTCCATATTTATCCTCCCTACAAGCACCACAATAGGGATGTGCATTTGGTCCGTCTGAACCGAATGCACCCCGAAAATGGCCCATTCTGTCCCCTTTCAGGCTGCTGCAGGCCGATTCAGATTCTCTGATCTAAATCGGCTTGCTGCCGAATTGCTGCCGAATTTCGGCGGCAATTCAGCCCCATTATATCCTATGGGCCATTGAAGTCAATGGTGAAAACATAGGGTATATTCTGGGGGCTGGAGGGGAAGGGGTTTGAGGGAGAGGCTCCAAACTCGCAGGGTAGCTGCTGGAGCGTCTCCCCAAGATACCAACCAAATCTGAAGAACATTGGACCAGGGGGTCCAATTCTACGGGCCCCCAAACAGGTTGCCCTATCCCCTCCATTGTTCTCTATGGTGGGAAAAACGTAACTTTTTTCCCACCATAGAGAACAATGGAGGGGATAGGGGCAACCTGTTTGAGGGCCCGTAGAATTGGACCCCCTGGTTCAATGCTATTGAAACTTGGTTGGTATTTTGGGGAGAGGCTCCAGCAGCTACCCTGTGAGTTTGGAGTCTCTCCCTCAAGCTCCCTCCCCTCCAGCCCCCAGAATATACCCTACATTTTCACCATTGACTTCAATGGCCCATAGGATATAATGGGGCTGAAATTGACATTTGGCTGGCCAAAAGACTCCCGAATTGGCTGGTACTGATGAAATCGACATGTGGGAGTCTCACTGACAGCCAAAATTGATTCTGCCGGATTCATCCGAATCCGAATGGGCCATTTTTTTAATATATTTTTTTGCACACCCCTACACCACAACTATGCAGGGTTTTTTTCCCCCAGTTCAGTTCGATTTACTATAATTAGCCATTGGCCGTTACAAGCTTACAAAACTCTCAGCAATAAAAATACAGATTATGAACAAGGTATAGGCTAAAATCAGAATATACAAAATTACCGAAAGTCAGTAACAAAATGTGACTAATTTAATACAGTAACCTAGACAGTCCCCCCTTCCCGTTGCCACTTCAGAACGTATATTCTTTGCAGTAAGGGCAAATAATGAAACTTTGTAAGAGACATATGCATCAATGTCAGATAACAAAAATGAGATTTGATCCTTGACTGGGTATACAGTAAGACCAGATAAAATACCTGCTAAAAATTTAGCTCTCGGACTGGAGTATAGTGGGCAAAAGAGGACATAATGAGGTACATGGGTGCCACAAATACACAGACAATGGGCCAATGGAGTTTGAGTAAAGTGGCCCTCCAAAATTGCCATTGGCATTGATTGAAACCATAGGGAAGTAAAGGACACTCTAAGTACATATTTGGAGATGTTGACTAGATATGGAGTTCTAGTATGGTCCGATTTAATTAATTTGTACCATGGTGCTGCCTTTGATTTTAATATCAAAGAGCGGTCTAGCCAGGCGTCAAAGTCATAAATCCAGTTTCTAGGTTGGGATTTATCAATTGATGTTCCCAAAAGAGAAGTGACACCAGTTTTAGCTCTCATCAGAGCAGCTGGAGACCCCTTAGGGAGAGCTAAAATGTGCCTTAAAAATGATTCTGGACTACTTCAAGGCTGGCCAAGACGACGTCATTCCATCCCCATACTTCAACTCCATACAAGAGATGGGGTATAACCTTACTCTTGTATAGTTTCAGAACAGGGTCTATAAGGCGACTTCCCTTGGAGTAGTAAAAGCTCAGGATAGACCCGGCCAGTCTTAGTGCTGACGATTTGACCACTGCAACATGGGCGAACCAGTTTAGAGTCTCTCTAAAAGTAATGCGAAGGTATTTAAATGAATTACATTGTTTAATTATATTTCCAAAAATACTCCAAGAGGAGATCTTTGCCCTGTTCCTAAAAACCATGACCTTAGTCTTATCAAAATTATGCAGAGCTTCCTCTTTAGCCAGATGCAACGCCATGCCATCTGCCATTCTATATGGCAGATTCAATAAGACAGCATATGCGACTAGACATTGCCTCTGTAAATCTAGATGTGTTGAGACAATCTTACATGTTTTCTTGCACTGTCACTTTTATGTAAACATACGCTCTAAATATCTAAACTCTATATTGGCCAACATGATGGGTTTTTCAGATTCCCAATAAGTTTACAAACTTTTGAATGATTCCTCTGTTGAAGTAACTGAGAAGGTACAGTCGTTCCTTCACTCCACCATGCTGCTGTGCCAAGAAAAAGTACAGTTGTAACCTATGACTTTATTTAAAGTATTTGTAATACAGTGTCTCTCTACTTATATATATTTTATAATGACTTTGATTTACTGATATATGCCAATAAAGGCTGACTTGACTTCACATTACAATGAGAACACAGTAGATCTCCGTTATGTATATAGCCAAACAATACTGTCATTGGATGAAGATTTAATGTGATTTTTTGTGAAACCTCTTGAATTTCAGCTTGATAACTGCTTCCATTTTGCTTAGGGTTGCCAACCTCCAGGCGGCGGCTGGAGATCTCCCAGAATTACAACTGGTCTCCAGACCACATAGCTCAGTTCCCCTGGAGAAAATAGCTGCTCTGGAAGGTGAGCCGTATGGCATTATAACCTGCTGTGGTCCCTCTCCTCCCCAGACCCCACCCACCCCAGGCTCCACCTCCCAAACCACCAGGTATTTCCCAATCCAGAGCTGGCACCCCTCGTTTTGCCGATACTTTACTTCTATCAGTGCCTGCAATATGCCTTTTCCCAACTACTAAGGAGAAGTCAATCCAGAGGAATTCCTTACCGTGGACAATTACACTGACGCTGCTTCTCTTAGTCATGCGACTGCTGGAGGCGGTGCAACTGTATCGTCCTCTGTCATTCAAGGTCACGTGTTCTATGGTGAGAGTGCTCACAAACTTCTTCATTTCGTTACCCAATGATGTCTTTATATCCCTGACTGCAACATGGTTTTTCTAGAACACAGTTCAAAATCATTCATTCCAACATTGCCCTTTCAGGCTCCCCTTTATACACATGCCAAAAAAAAAAATCAAGCTGGTTTTTCACAGGTTGATTGGATGCAGATGAAAATAGGAAGACTCCACTTTTCAAACAGGATTGTACCCAGCCATTCACTTATTCACCTGTGGCAAGCAAGGATGGCTTCCTGGTAAAATTTAGTTAACTGGATGAGAATTGGCCTTGCGGTTGATGTGCCACAGATTATTTATGTACAGTGAGCTGGGTGCATAACTGTGTTTGCAGGCTACAACTTTCTGTGGAAGATTTTGCTAAGTTGCTTTAATGGTTTATCGAACAAGAGAATTTTAGCAGTTGCCTCGCCCTCCCTGGCAACTGGCTGCCCTTTGAGCTTGCCACAGCACCTTGTGGTTTTCCAAATATTACAGTCTTCTCACATTAAAGGTGGCTAATCCAAAATTTAGAGTTGTTATAAATACAGAACAGCCCCTGGGGAACTTCCTGAATGCATTTCCATGACTGGGGAGAATGTGGTAGGCCTGTTAAGGAGAAGGCTGCAGGGATGGGGGGAAACTGGACCTCTGGACTCTTGGCCATTTACCATACAATACTATCACTCATGGTACATATCTGACTATTATAATAAATACATGTCTCTGAAGAAGTGTGTGTGTAAATTAAACTTTGCATGCAAATTAACATTTGCTGGTCTTGAAGGTACCACCGGATGCAAAATTTGTTCTGTTGCTTCAGACCAACACGACTACCCACCTGAATAAATACATAAACACCCATATTTTCAATTTTTAAGCAATGCTTCCTATTTAGAATGGAATTACAATTACTGACTTGTACAAGACATGAACTAGTATGGCACAGAGGTTGGAATTGTTGGACTAGTACCTGGGAGAGTCAGATTAAAATCCCCATTTGCCATGAAACTCACTGGATGAGTAATCCACCTCACAAGATGGTTGAGTTGTTTCAAGGATAAAACAGAGAAAGGGAGAAAACACTGCATGCCACTCTGAGCTTCTGGGAGATAAAAGACAGGCATAAAACATGCTAAACAGATAAGGAAAACATTTCTTACAGAATGAGGAATGCGCTCTAGCAAATACAAGCCACATTTTGATGTCTTTGGATTTCACATGTCGCAAAAACAGAAGATGACCAAGGCAAAAGTTGTAGCGCTTATGTGAAGAAATGAAGATGGAGGGAACAAAACTGCTCTATAAATGCATCTAATGTGCCAGACAGCTGACCCTGGTAGTGTAGTGCAATGTAGTGGAAGATGTCTGAAGTATATTATTGGGGCTACAATTTTACAAACAGCACATAGTTGGCAAATGACTAAAGAATCTGGCAAGTACGGAATTTTGTGCCTTGTTGTCAATGATTGCTATAAGTACACATAGAAGATCATTCTTGAGAAAATACCCTGCAAAGCTATAGAACATGACCACATTTCATTAACGAATTCCAACTACTCGTTCAAAGCCATTCAAAATACAGACACAGAAGAAGGTTAATTACAGTAACCTGGAGTCAACTCATACCTTAATGTTAGGGTTGCCAACCCCCCTGGTTTGCCAGGGGCTCCCCGTTTTGGGGGGGTTCTACCCACTGTCGGCCAGATGACCAGCGGGGGAAGCCCCACCCCCAACACCCACAGCCACCCCTCTCTCTCCCTTTAAGTGTGTGGAACCCGTGTTTCCTCCCAAGCCTGTGTTTCCTCCCAAGCCCGATCTCCGCTTGAGATCAGGCTCGCAGGGAAATGCCAGCTTCGTGCATTTAAAAGGGAAACGCGGCTGCTCTTAAGGGGGAAACGCCGGCTCCTGCACTTAAAGGGGAAATGCTGGCTCCTTTAAGTGCAGGGAACTGCCGTTTCTGGAGATCCGGCGCGCGAGCGGGAGGGTGGGGCAGCGGGGATGCCCCGCCCCCTCCAGGAACACCGCCAAAGTCCCCCGCTGGGGGTGGAAGATGGACTTGCCAACCCTACTTAATGTGTAGCATTTGGGTCCCCTAATCTTGTTGAACCTGTGAACAGATTCAGAATTTAGAGAACAGACACCACCACCACAGGGCAGCGCGCCTTACTGATTTTGCTGCGCCCCCTGCCCCAATCTCCCCCAGGATGCCATTGTCCAGCTGGGTCCTGGGTGTGTGCGTGTCGCTACAATGGTAGGTAGAAAGCTGCAAGCTGGCCTGGGAACTGCCACGGGGACTGCAGAAGAAGCCAGGAGAGCCCAAGTTCTTTCTCTCTTGTTTAAAAGTTCATAAGTTTTCCGCATACAGATTGGAAATCATTTCCCTCTTGAGAGTTCCAGCACCTCCCCCCCAAAAAAAAGTCCTGGTCACATTTAGCCTTGTGGTAGTTGTTATAGTAAGTGCCTATCAGCCTTCATTACAATATAGGCAGGGGTCATTTCCTGCAGGAGCGCACAGGAGCGGAGCTCTGGCAATAAAGAGCCCAGGGGGCGGGCACATGCAACAAGCCCCACCCCCTGCTCCCAGCAGCCCTCAGTGAGAGCAAGAAGCAGCCAGGTAAGTTGCAGAGCTCCCCACAGCCCTCCCCCAGTCCAAAACAGTCCAGTGGCACCTTTAAGAGCTAGTTTTATTTAGGTACAAGCTCTCCCTCCTCTGCAAGGGCAGATCTGCACGTCCCCCCCCCCAATAGCTAGCAATCCAAAACAGTTCAGTGGAGCCTGAGAGGTGGGTGTTGCCTTCTGACACACTTCCAGTGATATCAGGGGGTGTGGCATATGCAAATAAGTTATGCTAATGAGTTGTGCTAATGAGCTCCTGCACCTCTTTTTCTATAGGCCATTCAGTTCTTCATCAGTCTGGATGGGCTGCAAAGCCGTTATTTCAAGAGTTACCTTTTCTGCACGCTACTTATAACAATGGCAGCGTCTCCTGTCATTTCACAACTATGTCCTGTCACATGTGTCCTCCTCATTAGGGGAGGAGTTGTGAATCGGTAGAAGAGCCTCTGCTTTGCACACAGAAAGCCCCAGGTTCAGTCCCTGGCACCTCCAGTTAAAGGACCGGGCAGTAGGTGACGTGAAAGACCTTCGTCTGAGACCCTGGAGAGCTGCTGCCGGTCTGAATAGACAGTACTGACCTTGATAGACTGATGGTCTGATTCAGTATGAGGCAGCTTCATGTGTGTTCATGTGAGTACATTGGCCACATCAGTAACACCCTTATGATCTTTCTTTTCTTTTTTTTTGCTATGTGCAGCTTTGCAGGGCCAGCTCTTCGTCCCATCTCCATATCTGTGGAAACTGTTTGGGTTTCTTCACCCCCATTTCCTCATGCAAATACTATGCCTTTTGCCTCAGTCATGTTCTCCTCATGCATGACAGCAGAAGTCAAAGAAAAAGAAATGCAGACACGCCTTACTACTATGAAACTCCGTTCCTCACTCTGCAACAAAGATCCAACAGGCCTGATACGCCTTTAATTTGGAACGAGAAACTCATTACTATTTGCAAATGTGTGCATATCTACCTATTGTATAAACAATGTGTGAGTCATTAGCAGTGTCGTTACCCATTACATTTTTATCTTGCCCTTCCTTCAATGGGCTCAAGGTTCTCTTCTCCATTTACCCTCACAACAACTTTGGTGGGTTAGAGTTGACAGAGTGGTTGGGCCAAGGTTACCCACAATGCAATCCTAGGCAGAGCTACTCCCTTCACAGCCTGCTGACTTCAAGAGAAATTAGTAGGATGTGAGGATTGCGCTGCCAATTAGTTTCATGGCTGAACGGAGTTTGGAATTACAGTCCAACACTTTCACCACTATACCATGCTGGCTCTGCCAACAGTCCAGATGTCTACCCGTAATATTTTCAAACCTACTGCCTTATCTTCAGAGAACCTGCAAATTTTTTCTCTGAATATTGAAATGCCTACAGGAAGACAATCACAGGACTAAAATGAATTTCTGAAAGTTCAAAAGAAAACTAAATACAGATGTTTCTTTCAACAGATTCTTCTTGAAAGGTAAATTACCTCATTTGTTTTGCTGGATGGGAAGTCCCAATCAAATTCAATTCCCACGTTCAATTCCGTCCTCGCGGTACAATTTAGAGATAGCTTCTCTCCTGCTGCCAGTTCTACTTGGTGAGGAGGATTTATCGTGAGATCATGAATTTTATAACCTAAGAAAGAAGCAGGAATACATGAGAAACCCTGCAAGATGAATTCTAGCACAGTAGGTCAGATTAAATGACGTGGTTTCAACTAGAGTCCTCCATTTACATCACCTGGTGGTTTTTATGCTTTATACTTTAGCCATCACCAACCCCCTGAAACTAAAAACACACTTAGGAATAACCTTTTAACATTTCATTAACTCTTTAAAAATAAAATATAAAGCAAATAAAATGTTAGAACTGAATTGAAAATATATCAGTTAACAATGTACAGTCCATCCTGCCTTGATTTTCCCTCTCTGTCCTTTAAATCAGTAAGAAACAAAAAAGGAAATGATAATCCAGATAAGAATCCAAAGTCAATCGTGTGAGGAATAAGTAATGCCCTTTCCCAGGGGTGCCTCTTTCCATTCTTTTCCTCTTTTTCCTTTGACATAGTCCATACTCCTGGCAGTTACCAGTAAGTTATAAATAGTTTGTCTATTTGGACTGATTTCTTAGCTCAGCAATGTCCTGAAACTGGGAGAAGGAACTCCTTGCACTGGAATGGGCAAAACTCTGTCTAATTTAAACAGTTCGGCCCAGGGAGACAGTGGGTTGGATCCAGAGGAGGATTTCTGTGAACAGAAGAGGAGCATTAATTTTTGCCTATTGCCCCTTCCTGTGGTGGTCCTACAACATAACTGTCATCTCAGGAGGAATTTTTGGAAGACATTTTGGGTTGCAGTGGGAGGGGTGGGAAATCACATTCCATAGATGGCAATCCCTTCTGTCCGTGGAATTACCCCTGGATCCAACCCCGTGGGAGGAATACGACGTTTTCACAATGCCTTCAGCTCCTTAATGGAGAAAGGCATTCCCTCAGTCATGTTAGTCTACATGGTCTACACAGAAGAATGAATGATACAATCCCTCAAGCATAACAACAAGCCATGGTTTCTAGTTTTGTAATCAAGCCCATGGGGGGCAGATCTTTGGTCTTCTGTGCACCCTGCCTCTCCCTCAGGCACCCTCTAACAGCTTTATAATGAAAGACTTCCACTTGCAAAGCAAACTATAGTTTGTAGTTACATCCAAACCACACACTGGCTAGCCCTCTGTCTACCAATCAGCATTAAATCAGTCTGACACCCTGGTTTGCAGGAAAGAGAGAGTTTGTGGTTCAGAAATAATGACAAATTATAGATTGCCCTGAAAGCAGAAGACTTTCGTTATCAAGCTGCACACAAGAAGAGAATTCTAAAAGGGCAGTTGTGTTAGTCTATTGTAGCAATAAAGGTAAAGGTAAAGGTTCCCTTGCTCGAAAGCCAGTCGAATCCAACTCTAGGGTTGCGGTGCTCATCTCCATTTCAAAGCCGAAGAGCCAGCGCTGTCCGAAGATGTTTCCGTGGTCATGTGACCGGCATGACTAAACACCAAGGCACACGGAACGCTGTTACCTTCCCACCGAAGTGGTACCTATTTATCTACTTGCAATTTCCTGCTTTTGAACTGCTAGGTTGGCAGGAGATTGTAGCAATACAGCGCCTTAAAGACTAACATCTGTTTCAGCAGCAGCTTTTGAGAGGAGGATACAATGATCTCATTAAATGCTTTGGATCCCCATTGGGGAGAAAAGTGGGGGTATACATATCTAAATAATACCTAAATAACTACAGAACATGAAAATGTGAGCGTAGGGGTTCTTCTTTGTTTAAAATATTAACTTCTCAGAATACTGAGATAAGGATAGAAGTTTTTGCTGCCTTCACTGGGCATCCACATTCTCCAACCGCCTAGAAGTCTAGTCCAAGGTATGGTGATGATTATGCTTTAATCTCTTAAAGGCAATGTAGCCCATGCATTTTCATTGTATACTGCCTTCCCTCAGTTACAGGTAGGGTTGCCAACCTCCAGGTGGTGGCTGGATATTCCCCAGAATTACAACTGGTCTTCAGACAAGAGTTCCGTTCCCCCTGAGAAAATGCTTTGGAAGGTGGACTGTATGGCATTATACCTTGCCAAGGTCTCTCCCCTCCCCAAACCCCATCCTCCCCAGGCTCCACCCCCAAATTTCCAGGTATTTCCCAACCTAGAGTTGGCAACCCTAGGTATGGAAAACACTTGGATGGATCCTATGACTCACTTCTGCTAAGCTGGATCCTATGACTCTCTTCTACTAAATTGTCCTTCAACAGAGAAAGACTTCCTCCAATGGAGATTAACTTTTTGCAGTGGAAAAAGTCTTCCTCCTCCAACAGAGAAATACATTTCTCCATCACAGGAAGCCTTTCTATGCCGAAGGAAGCCTTAGTGAAGGGGAGTCTTAGGATCTGACTTGGTGGAAGAAATGTATAGGATCCAACTCAGTAGAATCAATATATCATCAATATAACCCACAAGAGATCCACAGAGAATAACAAATATCTTACCAACCACCACCACAATGAACAGCATGGACTGATAGCTTTCATCGTCGATCTTAGCTTTGCAGAAGACCATGCCCACGTCGCCAATCAGGTTACTGGGAATAGTAAAACCCTTTTGACTGTCCCATACGATTGATTTACCATCAGGAACAAATATTTTTTCTGGATACTTCTGTATAAATACCAGTACAATAATCCGTTAAAAGTCTTATATTGGCTAAAAATGCCCCTTGTGCATCCACTTTTCCCATTCCTGCATGTGATCCTTTCTCACAGGGACCCCTTCCTCTGCGGTGAACAGGAAGGCTAAGTGTTTTTTATGGTACACATAGCAGAGGGGTAGGTCAGGCCCCTAGACTTACAGGCTTACGGGCCTGATCTCAACATCTGTATTCATTTGAATACAACTCCTAAGTAAGATCCTAAGCATGAAACAGCATATCCAACAATACAATCAATATACAAAGCCATCAATATTTTATTTTTAAAAAATATATATTACCCCACAAAAGATTAAAACGCCAGGAAGAAATCCTACTGATTTCATGGACGTGCTTGACACTCTGAATGAAATAAATGGAAGCTAAAACTTAGGTTGTGACCAATGCTCCCTCAAAGCTGTAAAGTCTTTTGAGGAAAAATTCTACTTTGGTCCCTGCCACACAGGGGGGGGGGGATGCGCGGGCAAAGTGCAGCTTTTGAAAGCCGCACCAAAATAGGCACACGGCGGCGGGATCACACAGATCCCGTGAGCCGCCGTACACTTGCTCCCCAGCACGATCAGATGCCAGGGAGACCGGGGAGAAAGCCACGAAACAGAGAGGGAGGCTGCCGAACTGCGCATGTGTGAGCATGCGCACTTCTGCCAGGAGCTTCGGATGCGCCGGCAGAAGGACACGCCGGCGATCCCATGGCCATGCTTGCCGTGGCCTTTCTGGTAAGTCCATCTCTAGGGGTGGTTCTTTTTTGCAGCGGGTTTTCGGCCTGAAGGGCCGGATCGGGGACGGGTACGCGCCGCTTCCTAGATGTTGTGGTGCGATCACGCCTGTTTGCTGCGCCCCTGATCTGTCCCTCTCCCAACCCAAACCCTTACGTGTGACCGGGGCCTTTGTGAGCTACTGGTATTAAAGCTGTGAGTGAGCGATTGGGCTACTGCATCAATTAGTCTGCTCTGGAGCCATCCTTCCTGAGCTGAGACAAAAATGTGTGAGCCAGAGGCTAAAAAACACTAATTCAGCTTAGAGGGAACACTGGTTGTGACCAACTGGAGCAGACCAATGATCCATCTAATTCAGTATTGTGATTCCTGTAGTAGCCAGCCCCTGGAAAGCTTACAAGCAGGGCATGGAAGGCAAAGCCTTCCAATGTTGCTGCCCACAGTAGGAGATATTCAGAGATACGCAGGCTCAGGACATCCAGGTGCCATTAATAGACCCTTTAGATTTTAGTGACTGTGATAGAAAGCTAAATAAAGGGATAGAGTTGCATAGCCCAAAGAATTATATATATATGAGAGAGAGATTGGATTTATACCCTGCCCTTCACTACCTGAAGGATTCTCAGAGTGGCTTACAATCTCCTTCCTTTCCTCTCCTCACTCCCCACAAAAGACACTCTGTGAGCTGAGAGAGCTCTTTTGAGAACTGCTCATGAGAGCACAGCTCTGAAAGAATTTGTGACTGACCCAAGGTCACACTGGCAGCTGCATGCGGAGTAGTGGGGAAATCAAACCCGGTTCTCCCAGATTAGAGTCTGCACTCTTAACCACTACACCAAACTGTAGCACCAAATGTGCTGCAGATATACCACTTTCATTTTGATGTAATGCCAGTTTGACAGAGGGAACAGCTGAGATGACTAGCAGAAGTTAACATGTTACACTGACTTACCGTATAGAGTGAAACATTGAGGGCTGACGTAGACCCAAGACATGGTATTACCACAGTTTTGTTTCCAGTTATGTATACAACTCCAAGCTGGTCACTAACTGAGGTCACAAATGGAGATCTGTGATCTAGCAGATCTGTAAAATCTAAAATATTTTTAATAAATACTGTTATATTGCAAAAACTTTTTAAAATGCTCTACAGTGATACAAATAAGTGAATCCACTCTGGTAGGTTAGAGTTCATCACTTATAGGTACTCATTACACAATGGAACCTATCAAGATTGTGAACATGGATTAGATCTACACTAAATTTTCTGCTAACAAAAGCGGAGGTATAATTTCCACCAATTCCTTCTTCCTCCTGAAGACCCCCCCCCTCAATTTGCCCCTCATGCCATTCCTGAATGTTCCCTGTCCCCCGAGAGCAGCAGTTCATGAATATCAGTGAGCTACAACGGGAATGGGGGAGGCAGGAAAGCTTTGTTCCACAGACAGAAGTGTTTTCCACTAGTGGAAAAATTAGTCTGGATTCAACCTTATGTCAGTAAGTAGGGTGTTATGGTAAAAGTGGCACTCAGATGGAAGGATCACTCCTTGGTAGAAAATGAGACTGTCAGAGGGACTTATGGGGGGCGGGGAAACAAGATGTTATTGACAGGATACTCTTTTAGCATGTCATAGACCTACATTTTCCTCATAGTCTTTCTCTGCACACAAACACGAACACCATTGTTTGTTATCCCATTACCAATTTTGTCCTTTTCTCTAAAGCAAACATTCATACCCTGATATATGTGCAAAATTAAATGGAGATGTGATTTAATATCACCTGTGTTTATACCACCTGCCCAAGTGTACATTCTGACAATGATAACCCAGTTCTGCACAGCCATTACTGAGGGATGCTTCACACAATTTCCCTACCTGGATATTCTGTAGAAGAAATGGGTGTACAGCAGGTACAAGGCAACTTCGGACAAATACAGAAGCATCAGTCTTGCCTTGCGAACAGATAGGGCTGCCAACAGCCTGGAGGAAAAAAATATCCTGCCCCGTTAATAAAGGCTTAAATGGAAAATTTGTACCAGGCAAGGATATTTACCTCCATGCCATGAAATGCGTCATCCACAACTTAAGCCTCTATTAAAGGGGCAGGATTTTTTTCCTCTAGGTTGCTGAGACCCCTGTGTAGTTAGGGTTACCAGCCTCCAGGTGGGACCTGGAGATCTCACAGAATTGCAGATGATCTCCAGATGACAGAGCTCAGCTCCCCGGTGGAAATGGCTGCTTTAGAGGCCGACCTCTATGGCATTATACCCCACCGAAGTCCCTCCCCAAACCCCACCCTTCCCTGGCTCCACCCCCAAATTTCCAGGAATTTATCAACCCAGAGGTGGCAACCCTAGGAAGTGAACTGCCAGAAGCTTATCACATACTGCAGGATACATGCAGTCTTCTACATTGAATTTACATTTGCACCAGCAAATTGTGGGAATTAACCCCATACCCAACTTGCAATATGAATGGAATTAATTTCGCCAGCAGATTGAACAGGGATTTTGAATCTGTGCCTGCTCTGATCCTCCCCCCATAATATTTTATCCAGTTTACCATATTGATTGATGGTGCTGAGTACCAAAGAATTAAGCCATTACACTGATGTGCAAAGTCCAACACACCCATTAGAAAAGAAATTTCAGAAGACTGAGGAACACAGAATGCCTCTGTAAGCAAAGACACTTCTTTTCTCACAGAAGAGAACCAATGGCTTTAAGTGGGCACCCTAGAGAACTGTCTTTCAGCCCAGTCTTATGCCTCTTCACTCAGAAACAAATTCCATTGACCTCAACAGGGTTTGCTCTCAAGAAAAGATACCCAGGATTGCAGTCATGCAAGCCTAAACCTAAATCCTACTGCATTTCACGGAGCTTGCTTCTAGGTAAACTAGAATAACATTTAAGCCTTAACCTCCAGTTTCCCAACACATTAAATAGGAAGATGTCCATAACATACCATATACACAGTCATACCATAAGGCAAGCACTTACCTTGCACGTAAACGTAAATACTTGACCTTGTGTGGTTGTCTTGGTAAAAGCACTCATAGGTCCCCGTATCATTGCTTATTACTTCTGTAAGTGTGAGCGTCTTACAGTAGATACTGTCAGTGCAGTCAGTCACCGCTAGACGGTTTTCCGAAGTACTCTGGTTGTTAGGCCAATGCCACTCCAAAGCTCTTTCGCCACTAGAGAAAGAAAATCAAAAAGGGTTCGAGGAGACAAAAGCATACTGCAAAGTTACTCCCACAAGGACTGGTTCACACAGTTGTGTGAATTGTATGAAGAACGCAGTACTAAGCGGTCACCTGCACATGTGAATGAGTCACCTAAAGTCACTTCGGCACGATGCTTCTAAATTCACCAGCAACTCCCAATGTGGTGCCTACGGGCACAGTGGTGCTTGCTGAGATGATTCCAGGCGCCCACTTACTTCAGCCCCAAGCAAAGCACCAATCCTGACTTCCCTGACTGGAACAAGTGCTTCAAAACAGCCCAGGAGATCTTTGGGTGCTCAGGGAGCATCCATTTGGGAAAGAGCTGTCTCCATAAAAGGAAGATACTTGGCTTGGAAGCTCCCAGTATTTTGCACCTCTCATACAGCCATCTTGTGGTGTGGACATCACCTGTTCTTAAAATTCCAAGGGCTCACAGGGTCAATAAGACTGTGGACCCCTAACAGAGACAGCAGCCCGTCGTTAACAGTTAATTCTATGCAGACCAACTCCAATCTAAGCCCACTGTTTCAATGGGTTTAGACTAGGATAACTCTGCACAGGACTGCACTATTTATGAACCAGCCATGATGTACTTTTTTTCTGAATCTTAATGACACGTTGACAGATTCAGGTGAGTAGCCATGTTGGTTGGAAGCAGCTGAATAACGTTAGAGTCCAGTGGCACCTTTGAGACCACAAAGTTTGATTCTGGGTATAAGGTTCCATGTGCACGCACACTTCTTCAGATACATTGAAACAGAGTCACCAACCATTACATATAGGTAGGGCGTGAGGAGGATGTTGCCAGGAAGGGCCAATTAGAGCTAAATTTGGATTAAGGCAATTGATAAGACCTGTGAATAACAGCACATATTGCTAAAATAGGGTTAAGGCATATGGTAAGACCTGAGAATAGCAGCAGATTAGCATACAGCACAATGCTACATTAGCATTTCTTTTGTCTTTTCTAGATTGAAAGTCATTTTGTTACTTTAGGAACATAAAATATGACTATGGACATTTTTACTTGGCATGAAATTATCACAACTAGCATATCAAAAATATAGTGTATCCAAACAATTATTTCAAACAGAATACCCACCCACATGCAAAAACAAAACTGAAACTTTTTTATTTTCTTCTGACAATCGCACCTCCTAAAGAAAGAAATGCATCTTGTTCTTGCATTGGAGGGTTCAGTTTGTAACCTAGGACTTGCTTGTCCTCAGTGCACAGAAATTAGATCAATCTGATACCATATATATATATAGTTTAGAAATGATTTGGAAAATATTTGAACACCTTGTTTTAAAATATTTTATTCATCATGTTAAAATAAAACGTTCCATAATCAATTTTTTTCTTTTTTCAATTTTTCCAATTTTTCGGAAAAAAACAAAAAGGCTTCAGGAAAAAAACAGGGGGGGGGAACGTTTTAATTTCTGAATTTTTCCGTTTTTTTCCCGGGCCTTCACATCTCTAGCGAGAACTGAATAACATTAGCAGGTGTAGTGACATAAGAAACCAATTTCTCTGTTAAGCCCTGGAGGTTCCATGGTCCTGATAACTTGTAATGCAGAATCTCCCATCCTAGTCTGTTTCTGAAATTCTTTTGCAATAAAGCAGCTATTTTGAGTCCCCCCACTGAGTGTCCTGGGAGGCTGAAGTGACTTTTTTAGAAATATTTCTGCTATTTGTCTCGTGAATTAGCCTGAAAACCTCTTCCCCCTCCCTTCATGAGTGCAGCTGAGATTGAGGACTTCCTGGTTTGGGAAGTCCCCCTGCTAACCAGCTGATCAGTGGCTGGGGGGGCAGGGCCTGGTGGCGGGAGACCCCACCTCCACCGGTGGGGGGCCTGGCAACCCTAGCACTAATATACTGTGTTTCACAAGGGCCTAGATAATATTGCCCTTCTTTCTTTTCTTTTAATATTTCTCAAAAATTTACTTCAAACCCCTGACCAGGTGACTTTTGGAATGCTTAGGGCACTTTGCAATCATTCAAGGCTTCACTGTATTTCACCACTAGTTATGCCCCCTGAAAGCACAAGAAGTCACAGAGTGGAAGAAGAAAGTGTGTTTAGGAAAGATGGGCTATGTACAAAATAGTCATCATTCACCGCCCGCCCAACATACCTGCATGTAATTTGTAGTGTCTCATTTGCAGCTACAGTAAGGACAGCTTTTTGGATACTAAGGGATGGAGGATCCAGTGAAATGGGCAAGCCTGCAAAACAACAAAGATCAATAACTGGACATGCCAAAAGGGCAAGTGGTGCTCAGTTATAATGCCATCATAGTAAGTCACACTTAACCAACTAGCATTTTTTTTTAACCAAAATATTTTATTGGATTACATTAACAAGCATAAGTACAACAAACAGGTTCCCAAGAAACAATGAGAAAGATTTCATAGGTGGTTACCAGGGGTCATTTGGGGGGGGGGACGCGGGGGGACACCATCCCCCCGGGTGAGGTGCGGGAGGGCGGGGCCTGGAGCTCCCTGCTGGTGCCCGCTGGAGGTCGCCGCCGGCTGTGGGGAGGACACACTTCCGGTGATGTCAGGGGGTGTGGCATATGCTAATGAGTTATGCTAATGAGTCCCCCTAGCTCTTTTTCTACGAAATGACCCCTGGTGGTTACATAAATATACTGGTTTCCAAGTTGTCTTAAGCAGCGTAAATCATATAAGAGCTGGTAATAGCTACCTAACCTAGCAATAACAGTTTGTATTTAGCATTATTTATAGCTTCCCAATTACAGGATTCAAAGATGAGAGCAAAGGGGAGTTCTATGTTGGACTACCCTGGGGTAGTAAGGGGTAAATTGTGAAGGACAAAAACTTTGCCTTTTGCACATCGTACAGAACCTCACAAGCTCTGTCATAACAGGAAGAATGGGCAGATGGTCACAAGCAAGCAGCTCTGCTCTGCAATTCAAAAAGCTTGGGTGGAGTTCCTGTTTTGTTGCCTTGCGGACTTCAAGGTCTAGCTAAAGGATGTTGGGACATTGTAATGAAGTGAACCTGGCTTCATAGGATGATCTCATTCCCTAGGGAATGGTTTAAACCCTTTTGTTATCAAAAGATGTATTTCTAAAATACCGTAATTCCCCAATATTTCATATTCAGTGCTTGGAACCGTTCTAAGCAACACACCCATGTAAGCGCTCAGTCGCCTGACTTAAGTTCAGTTACTCATGTTTACTAACGTGCTTCATCCCTTACTGAAGAGTCTAGCACGTCTGAGAGCTGCAATTCTGGGCAAAACAAACTGCATGGGTTAACACAACTGGGGTTTTCCCCCCAAGTGTGTTCCAAAGACCCCTGGTGTTCCTTGAAACAGATCAGGAGCTCTGCAATGAGACAATCTGTAATGACTGTGGTGAGGTTCCTTAAAGAACAGCTTGTCCACCATTATTGATCTTGTTTTGCAATATGGAACAACAAAACAAGGAGGGTGTTGGACACACTCTCAGATGTCTCCTGACCACGGTAAAGCCAAAGAGGACGGACTACAGTCTCATATGTACTACCCATGCAACACAGAAGTCTCCCCACCGCCCCGAATCCTTTGCAATACAAAGGGCAGATGACTACAGGTCCCTCAGCAGAAATAAGTAGGTGTGGAAAGTATTCTGCAAAATGAGAAGATATGGAAACTTCTGGGTTCAAGGCTAGACTGATCAGCATTAATATATATTCTGTTCTAAGACCATGCAGTTGTTTTATAACAAAAGTGCCTCACTGGAGACAGTTTCTAGTGCCAGGAATAAAAACAAGAATAAAAAAAGAAGACTATATCTGAGCATGAGCAGAATGCATTTCTAACAGTGTATAACTACAGACCATGTTCCTACATCTGGAAGTAGATATATGCAGACTTCCAAAACATGGTTTCCATTCACTTAAGAATGAAAAACTAAGTTTTAAAAAAATAATAATTTAGTTATACACTCAGTTGGGAACTCTGTTCAATATGAACACCAAGGAGCACAACTGAGCACAATCGTAGAAGAAATTACATAAATCAGTCAAACATGACTATTTCACTACCAAAGCCAGTGAGCACATAAAAGACATGATGCAATGCTAAAGAATCCATTGGCACATCTGGAGTTTGAGAGCAGGGAGATCAACTCTTTTCTATCTGCACAGAAAAACAGGATCTAAACTTTGTAGGGGGGGTTTGCCATCAAATCACAGCTGACTTCTGGCAAGCCCATAGGGCTTGCAAGAAAAGAGACATTCAGAGGTGGCTTGCCATTGCCTGTCCCCACATCCCGATCCTGGTATTCCTTGGAGGTCTCCCATCCAAATACTAGCCAGGATCGACCCTGCTTAGCTTCCAAGATCTGATGAGATCAGGCTAGCCTGGGCTATCCAGGTCTGGGTTTGTAGACTATGATACTTCAAAGTATCCAAAGCCCACCCAATCAGCCTAGGATCAATCCAGATGGATCTCTTGAGCCAAGGGTGCGAAACAAACTCCTGTCCACATCACCTCTTGAACCATTTCAGACGGACAATACAGGATTTATCAACATTGCTAAATGTTCTCATTATACCAACCTTGGAAGGCTACCAAATTAATTTTGCAAAGAAGTGAAAGTAGCCAGCAAACAAAACTAGCCATCCATTTTCACTGAAGCAGTACCAGTTTTATTCTATTATTCCCCAAGCTCACCTTGATTTTCCAGTGTCTGCCACACAATATTGGCTAAATAAACTTAAAATTAAGGATAATAATGTCCCCCCCCCCCCCGCCCCCGTGGAACAATGCATATAGAATAATTCACATGAAAAGTGTGCTGGAATGCAAGGTATCCCATTGTGATGATTTCCCCCCCAAAAATATACTGTTCAATTTAATGATTTCCCCCCCAAAAATATACTGTTCAATTTAAAAAATTGGCTGTAAATTACTACCACCAATAACCACCATATTGTTTATCTCTAACAAACTGAGATTGGCTTGTTACAGGGTTGTTGAAATATTTTGAAACATACGAATTTTACAATTCAGTCTAAATATCCATGACAGCACATTTCTAAAGAACAAAGTTTGAGTCCAGTGGCACCTTTAAGACCAACAAAGTTTTATTCAAGGTATTAGGTTTCGTGTGCACGCACGCTTCCTCAGATACACTGCCCTGAGGAAACATCTGAAACATCTGGATATTGAAGAAGCCCTAGCCGTGGGACTTAGCCGTGGTACCACTCGGAATTTTTGGACCTACGATTTGCTATCTTGGGACTGTTGGAAGTATCGAGTACTATGTTTTAACTGAGGATATTTTAAGATGTATTAGATGTTTTGTATTATTATGCGTTTGATGTTTTTATTATGGCAAGGTTCTGCCTTGCCTCTGTAAGCCGCCCTGAGCCTATTGGGGAGGGCGGGTTATAAATTTGAAAAATAAATAAATAAATAAAAATAAATACATTGAAATGAAACAGAAGACTAGCCAGCAAAGTTAGCTATGACTAAACACCTCTAGAATGTTACGTACAACTAGTTAAGGGGCCATTCATGCGGGAGATACTGTCCTGGACCGTGCCCAAAGTGTATTCTGGCACTATCGGGAAGCGGGTCTGCTCCGAAGTAAGTCCCATTTCATCCAATGGGGCTTACTGCCAGGAAAGTGTTCTTAGGAGCGCAGCCTCAGTTATCCTCATAACACGATGCCCTGAAACTCACTTATTTATTTGTATCACATGAGTTCAGGGCAGGTAATAAAAATGGCTCCAAACATGCATTTGTGTCCCAAAGGGTGTCATAATGTAGCTAAGAGTTAGATTTAGACACACAGTACTACAGAGAAAGAACATAAAACATTATGAACAATGAAAAAAGAAAAGAAATGAAAAACGGCATTCCACAAAAAGAGAAATGAAGCAATCAAAGAACCTGATTTCTTTCCGTATGACACATGAATGACGTATTTCCCCCTTGCATACGAGAAAACTCGTGATGGTATACAACGGAAGGAATGGGAACAATGTAATCTGCTTTGGGTCCACATCGAGGAGGAAGGCAGGGTATACATGAAGTAAATAAAATAATATGAATAAATCTACAGATTCTTGAACCTCTCCCCCGTTAAAATGACATATTTTGACGTTCATGCATGCAGCTAACTAGACATTATTACCAGTGATGCAACTCTTAGGACAGCGCTAATTCGATTGTGGTGACAGGGAGAGTAACCACAAGCAACCTGAAGGAGTCATTTAGCCTTGCAGACCCCTGGCAACTCAAGTGGTCCGTCATTTCCAAACAACGCCTGCTACCAGATTGGTTCCCATAAATTGTTCCCTAGGGAATCTACTTTTAGCAGTCGTGGTACCTGACTTCCTCTGGCATTGCAGCAAATCTCACCACAATTAAAACCCACCGAAATCTAGAATCTCCTCGTGTGCAACACGAAAGGTTGTTGAGGTGGCCTGTGACCAGTTTTTTTGCTGGGCTGGATTAAGGGGGGGGGATTGGTAGCTTTTCTCCTTCTTTTTTATGGCTCATACAATTATCCATTTTAAATGTGTATTGGTGCTAAATATTTGGCATACACAGATAAGTGGTAGCTTAATCCCCCCGCCCCCATTCCTGTTGACTTCAAAATGAGGCAATAATCCCAGGGCATTGAGTGACAGGGAAACTGTCAGGAGTCAAACTCTTGAAGCCACTTGAGGCACGACAACATGGATAACAGCTCTAGGCATGGGAAATCATGTACACAAGGCTTATGCACGCATCCTGCATACACTGATGCGGTTGTATATAAAAGTATGTATGCATGCATGCAAATTGGATCCAGACAGTCTTTTGATGGGTGAAAGAGCCACCCAAAAGACTCTGCTGGGCATCCAGGGAACCTGCATGGACAAAAGCCATGTAGGACGGGGCTGTGATACAGTGGGGAATTGTCCAAGACTGATGGGAAAAGTTGGCTTGATGCAACTGGTAATATAACAGTGTGATAAAGGTATGTATCCATTTTGCTCCAGCAGTGGCTTCCCATGGTATTGTGTGCCTAGGTACAAACAGATATGCACATTCTTCACAAACAGAATGATATATCTTGTACACTTTTGCCCCTGTACAGTGAAGTGATATTGGTATGGGAGGAGAATGATACGCGAGTTGGTTTCTTGGAGACCCGATGGCAAATCTGTTGTGTCAAAAATACGCTTCCCAGAGTAGTGTAATGGCTTCCTCAAGCTAGAAGCAGTAAGCTCTGGGTTCCAATGAAGCTCACGGCATAGCCTTAGGCCAGTTGCTCTCTCTCTCAGCTTAACCTACCTCACAGGGTTGTCCTGATGATACAAAAGGGGAAGGGAAGACCCAATAAGCCTCCCGGAAATCCCCCGTCAAAA